GGCGTCAGGTGCCGGAGATGATGGCTATGGAGAAGGAACCACCCGTTATTGCGGGGCTCTTGCCGGTGGGGCAGTTACGCCCGGACAGTGGCACCCCGGATTCCTTCCGGACTTGCTTACCTATGTATGCATCAACCCATGGATGGCCACGGCTCTAGACATCTTCCCTGAAGGTCACTGCGATTTCAATTGTACCTTGCCATACGTGAGAGATTGACAATGCAGGCAAGGGAAGAAGGCTTCGCGGGAGCAGACCCATGGCGATCGATACCCGGAAAGTAACTAAACAGAGATAAGAATAGGAAAGCGACTCCAATGCTGAACCCTCCACTATCAACGATATTTCCATTTACAGGCATTGCCCGACGCCATCGAGCTCCTCAGCACACCGGCTGTCTACTTCGTAACCTCGCCGGCCATAAGCTGGATCACCTTCAGCTGGATGCACTGTCCACCAATATTGTATCCATACACCCCCCTTCACCGGGCATTTGGCATCTCCTTTCGCCCTCTTAAAATATATCAAATTAATGCGACTGCAGATTGTTCCAGTCGACACTTGGTGAAACAGCTTTGCAAAGTTGAGCGCCACCTTGGTCTGACATTCGGGGGTCCTTCTAGACCTCTGACTGGCAGGAGCGGGAGATTGGCCCGAGGTCTTGGTACTTGATGTGAGTAACCCCGCCGGCTTCCCGTGGTCCATCAGTTTGCGAAAGGAAATTGGCGGTGTGGCGGGCTGGATTTTGATGTCTCTGCTCATCATCCCCTAATTGGTCTCGCGCAACGCGCCACCAAGCAGCCCCGAAAAAAGAAGTAGGTGAAGATCTGAATGAGGTATTCGTTTGTCCCAGATATGTGCATAGAGGCCGCCCGAAGAGAGGAGTATCTTGTCCAACCAGGATTAGGTATACCTAACCAGTGAAGTCAGAGGTCGAGATTGAACGGACAGGGTCACATCGAATTCGTTCTGCTAGGCTGCAAAGGGTAAGCCAAGGGGTTCATCTTGGCAGTTGAGGAGTATTTTTGAAGTTATCATTCCTTGACAGTGGCGATGGCATTATAAAAATTATCGTACTTGGTAAGTGTGTGTACGAAGTACATACGGGTTGAATGATAGCGTGCAGATAATAAAGTACTTCGTGACAAGTGTTAAATTCGGGGGTGCGTGGGCGAAGGAGGGGTAGCGGTTCGGGCGGAAATCCCTTCAATATGCATGAAGACTATGGAGACATGGGACTGGTGATGGCTTCGTACAAGGATGGCGGTCTGTCCGGAATGTTCTTCGAAAAGGGCTCGCAGGTCAGTAGCTCTCTCGAAAATTTGATGGCAAACGACGAATATGATTGATCAATATGCGTTGCAAGTAGCACCCCTTCGTCCGTCAAATACTGTGTTCTCGAGTTCTCGAGTTCTCGGGAATGGCGACGAAGCCCAAAGGAACCTCGAAGAAAGACGACTCGAATATCACACTGCATTCGGTCCAATCCTGTCGAATCCCTGAACTACTACTCGGACTTCGGAGCAAGCATGCAAAAGAGATCGGAGCTTAGCCTTTCTCAATCGACTCGGAGCAGCTCTCTGTCGAGTTAGAGGACTTCGTACAATCTCAAGCCTATTACAATATAAAATCTACAAGAAATGCACCCACACTCATTCTCTCGTAGAAAATAGCATCAACCTCCTATGATTCGCCATGTCTTTCTTGCCAAGACACCCTCTTCCCTCGCCGCTGTTTCCTCACCCCTCCCGCATGACTGACCCACACCAAAGGCGCCGATTTCCTTGGAACACCACGCTTCTCTCGGGGCCATCTGACCATTCAAAGCCGTCACGGTTCGTGGGAGCCGCGCAGGAAAGACGAGCCCTTATTCGAAGCTACACGTGAAGAAGTCGAGTAAAGGGTTCTTTGTTCATACGATGTTCAGTCTCAAGCAGTTCTCAGCTCTCATCTGGGTATTACCCCATGCCAAGCATCCCAGTCCTTTGCTTTTGCCCCTCACTCCTCGGAAAAGTCACGGGTAGCTGTCTTAAACCGGGCATTGATCTGTCATTTGATCTGTCCCACCGAGGCTGAACAGGTATTGTCTTGTTTCGATTCTCGTTTTTAAATATTCTTCAACAGAAAGGCAAGTGAAGGGAAGGGGAGCATGACCGGTCGCGACCGTGGAGGCTGTAACTGTCTCGTGGAGCGTCGGGTTCGTGTTCCTTTGGCCTGCTCTTGCGGTGCCGGGTTTACAAGTTTTAAGTGTTGTCGCCAGGCGATGCCCCCGGCAGTGAGATCTGTGGATGCCATCCATCAAAGATGTCCAAGTACTTCGTATGTTGCTAGTAGAAGCTCGACGAAGCACGGCTGAAGTATGTTACAGGGTTTGAGACGGACTTGACTTCATTTGATGTGCTTCGTAACGACGAAGTACTTTGGAGTTTATAGAGGAATCCTAGACCTATTACATCATGTCCCCGGCATTGGCATGTGGACTACTGTCGCACTGCTGGAAGCCGACATGAGTGACACCATTCCAGGCCTAGACATCGCCAGATCGAGATACCATACAAAATGTGTGAATCAGACGCAGACCGCCCAAACTCCCAAATGCTGCAAGTTCTTCCCATGCAGAGTCTGCATTATCCTCCATTATTGGCCATACCTGAGATCCCTTTTCACGGTGGTCAAAGGACGCCCCCTCCGATGTGCATCTCGCATACAGCCGTACAAGCCTGCCCCCAATAAGACGTCCTACACTCGGGGCATATAACGATTATTCCGGACCAGTTGAAAGTAGGTCGTCAAAAAGCGAAGGCGGCAACAGGACGATTCGCTTCTCCCGCCTTTTGGGGTATTATCCGGAGGTCAACATAAAGTAGAGTATTCTAGTTCTCGGCTTATCGTGTCCCTCTTTTTATTTAATTTTTATTTTTCGTCTCTCTATTTAGGTTGTTGCCATCAGGGTAACGACACACTTGCCACCAGAGGCTCATTGTTTTCATTTTTTTTTTTTTTTTTTTTTTTTTTTTTTTCTCCAAAAGAGAAATGCATCCTCTTGATCTGAAGGTCTGTAATCCAAGGATATCAAACTAGAGACGAGGCGACATCTTGTAGCGGGGTCGGTTACAAGTCGATCTTTCATGACGCGGCTGTCCCATGAGCAAGCACCGACTTGGCGACTTGCTGATTGACCTCGTGGGGTTGACGAAAAGGGAGGCCAAGCTATTTTTTTTCTTTTCTACTCCTCTTTTCCACAATAAGCAATAATCAAGACGTCAATCAGGGTTCTGCTCCGTACAGTGTGTGAAATCTTACAAGACTGTACTCATGTCCGTACAGTGTTCTTAGGCGATACTAGATACCTCCGCTGCATGCTCCGTACTTGGACGCCGCACAGCGCGCTACGGCATGCCGTACAGTAGTACATTTTGTAGAGTACTACTGTACGAAGTACGAATTATGTCGGCGAGTACGCACATTGATCAATTGGTGCTAGTATGTCGTCTTGTCTCGACTGGTAAGACTGGGCACTGGGCAGGCAGGGTACTTGTAGCGGTTGCTCGAACAATTTGAGTACGTACACTATCTAAACACCCCACACCCCTCCCCCTGCCGGCAAGGGGAGGAGCCCCCATTGTTATTATTAAATCAAATCGCCGCCCCGTTCGCTCTTTCCCAAACCGCAGGAGGAATATCTTCCTCTTCTCGTCATCCTCATCCACGCCTCGAATTGAACATTTTGAAGGAGGGTTGTTTGGAAGCAATTGTCGCTTTCCTTTTGTATCGACAGCGACATTCCTCCTGGGTCTCTTGTTTCCTCTTGTCTTTTCTATTTTCATCTTGGGGAGTCCATTCTGTTGTCTTTCCTCTCCCTCCCCGGTCGGCCGCGTTCGTCCTTGTCCTCCATTTGTTGTTTTTCTTCGGCAACCAGCCTCACATCCGGCCGTGAAGTCGAGGTAAGTTCCACGATACCCCCATCTCGCTCATTTACCTTCGTGTCGGTCCTCGTCGCTACCTCGCCTGCGTTGTTGAACGAATCTCCATCGTGTCTATTGCGTCCTTCTGCCTGCTTTGCCTCCCACATGCCATGTCTCGTCTGAATTTTTTCTTCCCCTTCCTGTGCCTCTTGCTCCACCCTCTTGCTCCGTCTGAGAGAGGCTATGAAAAAGAAGAAAAAAAAGTAGAGATTCGAGAATGTGGAGATTATATCCCTGTTGCCTGGTTGGATGACATGGAAAAAAGCCAAACAAGGCGACACGGCGTATGACCGCAGCCCGGCTTGTATTTTTTTTTTTTCAACTCTCTTCCCATCCGCCCCATCGCACGCTTTTGTTCTATCGCCTTCGGATCATTACAACGACTGGGCCATCTCGCGCAACCTCTTCTTCTACCCGCTGCTTCTACGAGCCATAAAACCCTCAAGCCACGAAAGACTGGTACCAGCAGTCATATTTTCGACACACTTGCCCTTCCTGCTGCTTTCCAGACCCCTTTCATGTTAGCCCTTCCCCTCTCTTTGTAGCACGTCGAGGTTGTGCGACGAGCCTCGTTCAAAAACTGTCATCCAGTCGTTTTCCAAAGAAGGATCTCTAGCATCCTTCGGGCGTTAGATGATCTTGTATCTGCCGACTGTTCGTGGAGCCCACGCAGGAACTGGCCCATGGTGGGCCGGTCTGCAATGAGCACCCTCGCGTGGTCGTGTTGCACTAACTCTTCGTGCCTCGCCTTTGTCTCTTGCCTCAACTTTGATTAACTTAAACAAGTATTCTCTTCCAATGCTGACGTGGTTGCGTTCCACAGGGTTGTTCCTTGATCATCTTTATCATCTGATACCCGCCGCGGCCGTTGAACCTCCCGAATTCCGCCCGGCACAAGAGCTCGCCTCCGGTACTTTATTATACGGCCTGATCCCCCCTCGAACGGCTCATTTCCGACTCCCGTCCGACCGACATATACCCCATATCCCGTTTATAGAGTTCACGCCCCCGATGAGCCAATCCCTTTAAACCAAACCATGAATTCCGAAGACGGGGAGTTGTTTATCAAGGTACGCTTTTCATTCATTCTATTTCTGACTTCGAAGTTCTTTCCGCAGTTCTCGCTAATCCTACTTCTTGACAGCACCTTGCCAACTTCGTGCGAACGCACGAAAAGGCTCTGGCGAATGCCTTGCAGTTTCGGCGACAACCGGCCCGCCATGGACCATCCCATAGCGTCGGCTCGGTCTCCATTCCCTCCTCACCCACCGTACCCGAGCGGCCTTCCACATCCTCCTCCACATCTAGCGCCCTCGCCGCCGCTTTGTCCTTCGGCGCTTTCAATCTGACTTCTCAGACAATAAAGTCGACCAAGCTCTCCCTCACCCCACACCACCTTTTCTACCTACTCTCCCGATTTGAGGAACTCGGTATCGATGTCGGCTCGATGAAGATTCGCCTGGAAAACCTGCATGATACTAGGGCTTCTGCCAACTACGTCTCTTTCTTAAGCAGCTCACAGAGACTTAAGAGGCGTGGCTCAGATGTTGGCTCCATACGCTCCGTGTCTAGTGTCAGGAGCGTAATGTCCGGCATGTCTGCCTTGTGGTCGAGCTTGGGCATTGGGGCTAGCATATCCGCCGCCCGGCAGGAGAGGCAGAAGGCGGCGCTACAAGTGGATATGAAGTACCTCTACTCAGCCTTCACCAAGATTCCTTGCCTTCGACTTGCCCCCGACTGGCGTGCGCCGCTAATACGAGGCTACGAGGAATTCCCCTTCGATTCGGCTGTGCCGCTTTACGCTTTCAAGAATCTCCAAGCCCTAGAGATCAGCGATGTCGACTTCCGGCAGTTCTTTGGCTGGGACCGGCTCGCCGACCAGCTCAGGTCACTGACTGTAAAGCGGGCTAGTTTAGAGGACCCGGCCGATATCCTCATTGACATCGTCTTGGATGATATGGATAAAAGACGTCGTCGTACCTCCAAGGCTCAGACCTCACCGACCCATCCTTGCCCCGGCCATTCAAGCCCGCGGCGGATACCCACTCAACAAGACGTACAAAAGACGAGCTCCGCTCCAGCTTCGCCCGAGCCGAGAAAGTCTGTTGGAAACGTCCGAGTCAACCCGATGAGTGCTAGCGAGAGCGCCATCGATGAAGCCCACTCGATGAACGCAAGTCAACTCCCCCCAAAAGAGCAGGGAGATACCGATGAGGAGGCAAAGTCACCTTCGTCACCGTCCCCGAGGCCGCGTAGTTTCTCACCTGTGCGACGCCCCAACTCACGAAACGCCTCATCGCATGTACGAGGCTCCCACAAAGTGAAGCGGTCAGGTTCCACCAGTTCCCATTCGAGCCTTGGCGACTCGTGGCACCATCACATGCGAGGAAGCTCGTCTAACCTCTTGGCTATGGGAATCCTGCCTGCATCCAAGTGGCGTTTCTTGCGACACCTGAGTCTGGCCGACAACTCGTTGACTTCGATCCCGGCCACTAGCCTGGGACCCCTCTCCAATACTCTCCACTCACTTGACCTGTCGTCCAACCTATTCACTCAGATTCCGGATAGCCTCGCCACCCTCACGGCGTTGCGCTCTCTCAACCTCTCCTACTGCATGATCGACTCGTTGCACTCTCTCACCCGCAACCCTCTGCCTGCTATTACCGCGCTCAACCTGCGGGGAAATCGGCTGCAATCCATTGCAGGTATTGAGAAGCTGTACCCCTTGGAAAGGTTAGACTTGAGGGAGAACCGCCTCACCGACCCCACGGAGATTGCTCGTCTGACTGGCATTCCGGATATTCGCGAAATCTGGGTGGAAGGAAACCCCTTCACACGCACCCACAAGAATTACCGCGTGACGATCTTCAATCTGTTCCGCCAGACGCCAGGATATACCGAGGATATCATCATTGACGGGACAGGGCCGAGTTACTCTGAGAAGCGCCTGTTGGTTGACCGCGTGCCGCTCCCCGCAGCGGTCCCCGTTGTCAAGCCGGCGCCTCCGGAGATCCCGGCCGTCGATGTGAGCAAACCTGCAATCATTTACGATGCCCCTCGGGAGCCTCATGTATTGAGGAAAGAGCGCCCGAAATCTAAAATCGTCTCTAGTGAGGTCAGTGTAGGCTCGTCTCGGAGACGCAAGGCTCCCAAGAGACGAATTGTCGACCTGGCCGTTTCGGAGCCCACTCCTTCATCCGTTATCGCACATCCCCAGCAGACTGTACAATGCGTGGCTATTAAGAAGGCTCCGGTTGAAAGTGCTGCGGCGGGTGGCATTCTTGCTGAGTCCAGGGCACCGGAGGTAGATAACTCCCCCATTGGGGCGACGCAGCTACTCTCTGCGCCTACACTCAAGCCTCAGGAAGCGAACGGCAACACTACTACACCCCGTGAAGTGCAGCGGATCAACACCGATGTTGATTCTCAACCCCCACCGACGTATTCCGTCACTCCCAATGTTCAGACTAACTGGTCTGATCCGAGGGAATGGGATAGCGGCGAGATGTATCGTCGCAAAATCGAAGCTTTGCGAGACAAAGTTGGGAACGGCTATCTCAGTGTTCTGAGTGAAGAATCATGGGACAGCACGTTGGCCCCCGACTACTCGGCCAAGGCGTACAATCCCTCTCTGCACAGCACTACCGCCTCGGTGATGGATAGCCATCATCATCCGCATAACCTACATCATCATCATCATTCAATGGCCCCTCCCCCACCTCCAGCCATTCACAGCGGACGCAGTCTGGGCTAACGAAACTAACATACCCACACCATATCTCCCACTCGAGCCCCTGATTGTGTCCGTCGGCTCGACACTCATCTCTTCTGGCGCCCAGGACACATGATACCCTTGTGATACCCGTCCTTGGTGCGCCAAAGCATTTTCTGTCGTTCTTGAGGCTGCGGCCCTTTTGCCTGCACGTAAAGTCTCAAGTGGTTGATGCGTTTATCGCACACAGCCACAAGTCTTTATTTCAACCCTGTCTTTTTATAGTCACCTCATTAACTTCATTGTGATTTTATTTTGGGATCAACGGAGCATAGCGCGTACCAGGCGTTTGGGACTTTTGGAACTCAGCATATCATTTCTGCTCATGAGTCAAGAGCTTCTTTTTTGATGCATTTGTTCTACTCCCCTCTCGGATCTCCCCATGAGATAGTGTTTGACACTATTCAGTTTTTGTTTTGGTTCAAACCATGGTTTTTGGTTGAAGAAACTCTCTATGTGAGGGTGAAGGAAAGAAAGGGCAGTTGTGCATCATGGCATCGGCATCATGGGATTATTTCCTATAGAGAAGGATTCGGTTGCATCTTTTCTTCCTCTTTGGTAGACCTCTTTTTCACCTTGTTTTTTTTTTTCTCTTCTTCTGGGAGGGGGCCGGGAAGAGCCCTGCAATGGATGGGTGATTAACTAGGCAAACCAAAAACTGTTCTATTTCGCCACTTTTCTCTCCCCCTTTTCTATTTTTCTTGAGGCTAACATCATGGTTTGCCTTTACGGTTCAACGGCTCTCCATGGCCTTTCTGTGCTTTTGCGAGAGTGTGACTTTTCTTTCGGCGTTTATGAGGGATCCTTCCAGGGGGAGGCCAGCATCCTGGAGGATGAATGGATACCTACTGCTTGGTTTTCGAGGGGTGACGGTGGATTTTGTCCCTTCTCCGGTTCCTTGTTTCCTGTCTTTGTTTTCCGTGGAAGAGCAAAAGTTTGTGTGTTTCTCTGGTTTCTGCCCCGTGTGTCAATTGTTTCATTCCTGGTTTCTGTTTCACGTCGATGTTTTTCTGCAGGTTGTTTGGAGCTCTGTGATGCAAGCTAGTTTATGGCTTGCGTTCTCTAATATATCACTTGGTTTTGGGACAGTTTTTAAGATATGTAACCTCGTGCTTAATCGTGACAGCGTCTACTGGCTTGTTATGTGTGATAGGATAGCATGGACTAGTTCCTAGAAGGCGAAGTGTAGGAGAGTCTCAAGACGGGTTGTGTAGTCTAGGCCTTTCTCTCCTGCCGAAACCTCGGGGACATCTGATCGAAACCCGACCAAGTCACCTGTGTGCTCATCGGCAGATGAGATCAAAGTGTGGAAAACTCACTCTGTCCATGTAAGTCTATGACACGCTGCAGTAGTAGTGTCTCAGAAGACATCACGACCATTATCAGAATATCGACATGCTGGCCGAGCAGAGTCGACCGAAGCAGGGCGCACAGATTATTCTATGCAAACCGTCCTTTCCGCCCTCAGGGTCTTCCACTTCCTATCCGCACTCTCAACATCAAACATTCCCACGCGGCGATATACCACATCCTTGGAGCTCTCTTCTAATATCAGAACTAATCCCACATCGCCCCCGGTCTGCCTCACGCTTTTGCCGCTGCCCAGCTGAAGACAGACGACCGTGGTGGACGGCAAGTCTTCCGGGTCCGCATCGAAATATATGCGCAACGTTGGCGGGTTCTTAAAAGAATCCGCGAGTCGATAACACTTTGCCCTAAACGCGGACCCGCGAAAGTCTGCTTCGAACTGCTCTTCGGATACAGACACCTCAATAGCCCATCCAGAAAACCACAGCTTCCCACCGGAGACCCGACCGAACGGATCCAAACCGGCTAGCTGAGTCTGCACGCCAAGAACCCGCCCGATTGGGGGTAGGGCTAGCAACATCAACTCCGCCATGCCGCTTCGCCCGCCCATTTTCTTCTGCGTCTTGAGCATCTGCTGTCCATAATGCGTAATCGGACCATCGAAGGCTGCCCAGCTCCAAGAGGGGATACCTTCATCTGGTTTTGCAGGCGGCCATTGGCCTTTTTGCACGCGCCGTCTTAGGACGGGGTCGGGATACCATGCTAGGCCGTGCATCAAGTCTCTTTTCCAGAGGCCAGCTACATACGTGTCGGCCGGCCTGCTGTGGGCAACCTCGGCGGCGATACCGGAGATGGCGGGGAGTTTGTCCCGCTTGACCGTGAGTTGGCGTCGGGAGTATGCCTCCACGAGGGCGTACCATTTCTGGAGAGTAGCGCCATTTATGCCGGCTGAGGAGGTGTCATCGAGGATTCTCCACTCGGCTGCGGCCTCGGTGGGTTGGGCGCTGTGACTACAGTTTGAAGACTCAGACACAGAGTAGTCCTGAGAGCTGTCCCTTGCCGAGTGGGTATGATCCCTTTTCAGATGGCTCTTGTCCTTGGACTCCATGTCTGGTCTCACTTCTGAAGCAATGCACTCTCGGCATTCCCAGAGGACTTGGTCCTTCGTGTAATGCAATATCCGTGGGGAGAGTTCTCGTTCCTGGAGTGTCCAGCCTCTTGCGCTGAGGGAACCCTTGATAGCGTCGAGGAATGGCCCGTAGTCTTGGTAGACCTTTATATTAGAGCTGGCAGGGTTGTTTGGGAATCGGCCAAACTCGGGAGACATGAGGTTTTTGGGCCCGATTTCTGTGAAATTATTCTGGCAGAGAACGGTGGTGCCCCCAATCGTGCTTTTATCTCGGGGAATGAAGCAACCGCCGTCGCCGTTCGAGGAGTCCGATGCCTTCAGCATTGTTAGTCCGCCAATGGCATACTTCAAGATGTACGAAAACAGACCGCTAGAGTGCAATACGCATTAGCGTAGACCAAACCCATCTTTGCGCACTCGATCAGGAAATCCTCTTCAACATCCTGGATGATGCAGAGTGAATCTATCCACACATATCGCAATCCGAGTCCCCGAGTGATCATAAAAGCATCCTGGAATGTCTTCGTCATCTCGTCCCATTTGATACTGTCTGTCCTTTGAATCAAATCTGCCTTGAGGGTTTTCGGAACCTGAGTCCCGGATGTCGTGCCCCAACAATGACTGAGAGCGACATAGTCGTGGACGCCTTCACTTAGATAGTCCTTTGTATCTATCAAATGCGGTCTGATGCGTTCTTCGGAAGAGGCTAGGCCGATGTCTATCAACCTTGTGGGTAGACTGTCGGGAACTCGACGGACATTGCACGCCTTGTGTTCCCGACGACAGGTTTCTATCCAGGATCGAGCTAGGCTGAACACACCCGGGGAGGACGGACTTCCATGGACCGAATGTTCTGCGAAGAACCAACAAGCAATAAGCTCACTCGGACATGATCAACCTTTCCATGTATATGCCGTACACATACAAACACATATAAACGGCGGAACCATAGACCACTCACCAGGCAATCGACCCTGTCCCATGCCCTCATTGAACCAGTACAAGTTCCCCGTCCTCACAGTAAACCAGTCCGTCTGCTCAGTGATTCGGAGCAACCCCTCACCGGCAACCCTCAGCGCAACATAAGTTTCGTTTGGACGGTCATGGCGGGGGATGCTCTCTACAGTCTTATCCGTCTCTAGAGCCTGCACGATCAGGCGACACATCACACACCCCGCCGCACCCGACTTTTCGACATTCTCAAGCCCGGAGTGGCGGATAGATCCGAGCCAGGCAGTTCCGCCGTGGTAGGAGTGGCCGCATCCTCTTGTGGGGAGGAAGATGTCAAGCGGAATCTTCGAGCACAATTGGCAGAGCATCTCGAAGAGAGTGGTCTGGTTTGTGTTGTTTTACCTTTACCTTTGCAGCATGCCATGGAAGACAGTAGAGAGGACCGCATGTGCCTCGGCGCAATGGATTAAATATGAGCGCATCTAGTTAGGCCAATGCAGGCAGCATGTCTAGTTCTCTGGCTGCGCCTTGCAAATGGCGAAGAAGAGATGATCGGCACACCAAGTTCCGGAATTCTGTCGTTCGTCATAACTCGGTGTCATAATCCGGGGACGATGTTACGCCGTGATAACGTGCTAATTGGGCGGAGTGTGGCTTTGCATATCCTAGTTTAGTTGGGTGATTCGAGATTCCGTCTTCGATCTCGGCGTAATGCAAGCCCGGATCAAGAGACTCTATCTATATAGAATTACAATATAAACGTCCTCGGGGTGTTTCTCGAGTTCGCATTTACACCGCAAGTCGTCGATACCCTGAGCCGAAACACGCTTCCATCATTCCCTTGAGATTTTCTCACTCTCAACCTTTCCTTATTACAAAAAAAAAATTCATTCTAAAGGTCCAAGCTGCCATTGATATCGAAACAGTAGGTACGTGTTAGTCCTCGCACAGCAGTTGTTGGTTACCTCATCGCAACCCCTCCATGCATCGCGGAACTCATCGCCGGCGTTGATTGCAACGACACGTCCGTTTCGGGCGCGGAAGATTTACCTCGTGACATGAAAGAAAATATCATTTTTTTCTGACTTAAATTTTTTTTAATATGCTATAGACATGAGTGCTCCTGCTATAATCATTGATAATGGGTATGTCCTTCGATTGCGCAGCCATGCGAAAGTGCCGCCGGAAGCATTCCCCGAGCTGACTGGACAAAACCCGTGTGTTCAGAACCGATACCATCAAAGCCGGTTTTGCGCAGGAGGATATACCAAGTGTAGTCTTTCGTATGCCTTCTCTAGAGCGGCCCGTATCAAATAAACTATTCAGAATAACTGCTGACTTCTCCCCCAGCATCAATCATAGGGGGCGAGCCAGACTTCCCAGTGGGATATGTCGCCAAAGGAAGGGGCGGCATCTTAAACCGCCCGATACGTGGTGGAGGACGAATTACCGACTGGACTCAGATGGAAAAGGTGTGGCACCACATGTACAGCGAGCTCCAAGTGTCTCCGGATGCCCACCCTGCTATCCTCACTCAGCCTCTCAACGAGGTAGAGTATAGCAAGCAAAATACTTCTAATAGCCTTTACGACATATCGAATCGAAAGAAGATGATGGAAGTGTTTTTCGAGACCTTCGACGTTCCGGCTTTCTACATTTCCAGCCAGGCCATCCTCGCCGCTTACGGTGCGGGCCGTAGTCAGGGGATCATCGTCGACTCGGGCCACGAGGAAACCCGCATCGCCTGGGTCTGGCAAGGAGCTTGTCTTGGCTACGCGGCCATCACCACACCGCTTTCTGGCACCACTGTGACAAACTCTCTTGCCAAGCTTCTCAAAGGTCATGGCCTTCCATCCCATCCAGAGATGGCTGCAGATGTGCTGGCTGATATAAAAGAAAGGCTCTGCGAGGTGTCTGTGAATAAAGACGTGCAGGGCGGTGGTGATGAGAAGTCTTATCAGCTGCCAGATGGTCGGACGATCAAGATCGGCAGAGAGCGCTTCCTTGCCGCTGAAACTCTTTTCGACCCGAGCCTCTCTGATTCTCCTCAGGCCAAGAGCCTTCAGGTAGCCATCAATGACTGTGTCCAAAAGACGGACGATGATCTTCGAAGAAGATTGTACGGCCAGATCATCCTTGTAAGTACCTTCCCTTGGAAAGTTCTGTGCCCGAGAAATGTGGTGATAGACTAACAACAACCGGCAGACTGGTGGAAATTCTATGTTACCTGGATTGGCACAGCGGCTTCAGACCGAGATCACATCTCTCGCGCCACCGCAGACGGCGGTTTCTGTCATCTCACAGCCCAACCGAAAGTACTCCGTCTGGGTGGGTGGAACTCTCATAGGTCGTATGCCCGCCTTCTCCGAGATTGCGGTTTCGAAAGAGCAATACGCCGAAGTTGGCTCGTCTATTGTTCAGCAGAGGTTTGGCGCTGGGTTCTAGGGTCCACGAATGAGAGGTAGTTGATATAGCTTGCCCATGTGGTTGGGCCTCGCTACATTCCATGAGCTCAGCATTCCTAGTTATTTTGCAACCACATTTGATTTCCTCAACTCGTAGCTTCCGAATTCGTGTGTCCGCAGTCGTCCCTTTCTTGTAGTCATTAGAACACAGAGATATCAAATGACTGGATTGTGAAGGAGCAGTCTGCCTCAAAACCAGATACCAGGTAAGTACAAACAGAGTACATACCTCAATACATGAATAATCAATAACTTATCAACTTTGAAATGAAAAGGGAAGAAAATAATATCCTACAAAAGGCCGAAAAAGACGGGAAAAAAAAAAAAAAAAAAAAAAAAAAAAAAAAAAAGGAAAGAAAGGGTCAAAGGTCGCAAGACCCCAAAAAAGAAATCGATGTTTTAGCATCTCCCATACCAGGAATCGAACCAGGGTCTATGCTGCGCTCATTAGATGAGAGAGCATTATGCTAACCACTACACCATATGGGATGTGGTGTGATTATTGAATGGAAGTTTCCTAAAACGGTCCTAAGTAAATTTCCTGTTGATAGGAGGCATTACCGGCTGTCAACAACTGCATACTGAAGACTTGGCCCCTGATAGGATGACTAATTAATCCGCCACATGCGGCTCTGACGAGGTCCGTGCGCCCTCAACCTCACGCGTCCTGACTCCTGGCAAAAACAGTCCCCCAAACGTCCATTTGGCGCATTCCGCTGGCCCTGATGGCTCTTTCAACGCTCTAACGTTCAATTTTCTTGAAGATAATCCTGATACCCCCATCCCCGAATCCTTATCGATGCATATTACGCCATCAAAAAGCAGTTCTGGGTCTGGTTGCCGCCTCCTGACGCGGTGATTCAACCCACTTCCGCAACCCCAACAACCCCCTAATTCAGCGCCGCTTTCCCCACCTTTCCCATTCCAAGGTGCGCTGTCGCGAACTTTTCTCATCCAAGATCACCGGCGATACGGCGCGCGTCCATGATGGCGCCAAAGACGCCAACGCCTCGTCGTACACCCACGGGTAGGCGCCGGGGCCGTCCTCCAGGCACCGCAAGTACCCTTGACACCTCTCGCCTCGGCGCAAATGCCGTCGCTGCGGCGACTGAACCTCCCCCTAAGAAGCGCCGATACATACCAGGGGGCGCAGGTGGGGGAGGTAGGTTTGTCGATGCGGATGACTATGAGACACCTGCTCCAAAGCGATCGCCCGCAAGGCCCAGGGTCACGAGCGCGAGAACCGGCGCAACGCAGACGCCGTATCCGAAGAGAGAGCGCAGTACCAGAAACCGATCGACATCAAACCCCGCGAATATTGAAGATATGCGATATAGCTCCACGGCAGCTGTAGTAGCTGCAGTGGTCCAGAGTGAGGGGTACAAACCCCGCGAAGAGCGCGGTTGGGAGGAGTTCCACCCCAACCTTGATATCGACGCCACATTCATGGTGTTCAGTTCGGAAGAGGTGGATGGCACCTCTAATGTGCACTCCTCACCTGCCCCAAAGGACCCTTCTACCCCGTTGACAACGTCGACGCCGCCTTTGACAATGAACGGTATCAACCTAGACCTGGATCGTCAACTAGCAGCTTCTCTAGGTCTCGTACCGGGTACCACTCCAAAGCGCCGAGTAGGCCGCCCCCCTCGCGACCCCTTAGCCTTCTATGCTGCGCGGGTGGCCGAAGGACTAGGCATACCCAAAACACCTGCCGTTCTACCTATATACAACCAAACTCCGAAAGAGCGGCTAGATCTTAAGCGACCGCAGTTTCGCAAGACAGACCGCATTCTTCTATTCGAAAGCAAGAAGTTCGGTCAAGCACGCTACGTTGACAAGTCTATGATGAACATCGGCTATCAAGAGAGCGACGTGTTCATCCAGCCCGAGAATCGTCTCATTAAGGCTGGTGGTTCTATCGTCGATGATGAGGCAGACCAGACCACCTCTTCTACAAAGCCGGGCCGCAGTGAAGTAGCCCAGTCTATGGGAGGCGTGCTAGGCCGTGTCGAGTATGACATGGACGAGCAAGACGACATGTGGCTGGAAGCACTCAATGCCGAACGTCGAAGGAACGAACTCGAGCCTATCACAAGAGAAGTGTTTGAAATTACCATCACTAAGATCGAGAAGGAATGGCACGCTCTTGAAAAGCGCATACCCAAACCCAACCCGAAACCTCCACAGACACATCGGCCTCGATCTAGCTCGGCAGCTGCCGTTAATGGCGAGCCGTTGGCCGGCGAGGATCAGGATAGCAGGTGTGCTATTTGCGACGATGGAGATTGTGAGAATACAAATGCCATTGTCTTTTGCGATGGATGCGACCTGGCTGTCCATCAGGAATGTTATGGTGTGCCGTTCATTCCCGAGGGTCAGTGGCTCTGTAGGAAGTGCCAGCTTATCGGGCGCGGCGTTCCGGTATGTCTTCCCCCCTTTCTCTCTTTTTGGATTGACTACTAACTTGGTGTGTGTAGACATGTATCTTCTGTCCCAACACAGATGGCGCTTTCAAGCAAACAAACTCATCGAAATGGGCACATCTGCTGTGCGCTATGTGGATACCGGAGGTTTCTCTTGGGAACCATACTTTTATGGAACCCGTCATGGAAGTTGAAAAGGTGCCCAAGACGCGATGGAAGCTCACATGCTACATCTGCAGCCAAAAGATGGGTGCCTGCATTCAGTGTGGAAACAAGTCGTGCTACCAAGCATTCCACGTTACCTGCGCTCGGAGGGCGAGATTATACCTCAAGATGAAGAACAGCCATGGTGCTCTCGCGGTGCTGGATGGCAGCATGGTTATCAAAGCATTCTGCGACAAACACTGTCCCCCCGATTACGCTGCAGAGCACTCGGTCGTGCAGTCCACGAGGCAAGCCAAAAAGTTCTATAAGAAGAACATGAAGGGCCTGGTCTGGGCGGATAGCCAAGCCGCTGCAAATGCCATTGCTGCTACTCATCGCCATGCTATCACGGAGCATCCGCCTGATGAGTCCCAGATAACGGGAGCCAAGTTAGCGGGCGCTGCTGGAGACAAAAAGAAGAGCCAGCCCGCAAAACCTGTTTGGAAACTGCCTTCCGGTGCACCCATTATTCCCCAGGCCGTCTTCGACACCGTTGAGACGTCACTTCAGCGCTTCACAATTAGGAAACGGAAGGAGTTTGTAGCTGAGGCTTGCAAATTCTGGACCTTGAAGCGAGAGTCAAGGCGAGGGGCGGCGCTGTTGAAGCGCCTCCAATTGCAGATGGAGACTTTCTCTTCTGTTGAGCTGACGAGACGCAACTTTGCCGCCATGGGTCCTGGCGGCAAGGCTCGATTGGCGAGACGAGTCCAGTTTGCCGAAACTCTACTCAAAGACCTGGAGCAACTCAAGAGTCTTTCCGAAGACATTGTCCAGAGGGAGTCGGAGAAGCTGGATGCTTCCGAGCTCGAACAAGAGTTTGTTGACACTTGTTATTTCCCGGTTGCTACCCTTCTCGTTGCCGTTGTTGAGAAGGCTTTGGCGTAAGTCAACACCAAATTTGTGACTTTTATAATGGTGCCATATACTGACTGATGCCTTGATACAGGCTGGACAAAAATATCTTCAAGAAAGGTCTCACGAAGCTCCAGGCCAAAGTCAACGAGCGGTTTTATACAACCACTCTCGATTTTGCGCGCGATCTCTGTGACGTTGTTCGCGAAGGAATTAACACCGAGCCTAACGCGGCCCCGCCCTCAAACATCCCAGAGCAGGCACCGAATCCCGTCAATGGTCCTCCGTCAAAACAGACATACAATGATGCTAGGGATCGCAAGAGGCTTGGTAAGCGCATCCTCAAGGCTGTTCAGCCTCAACTGGAGACGGCCTTGCAGACCGAGTCTAGCGTCACTTCAAAACCTCTCGACGGCTTGGCCAAGGAACTCGATGCCATGCTTGAGGCGTGCGTTGAATTGCAACAACCGTCTATTACTGTTTCCGGAGCACCTCTCAACGATACCGAGGACAGCCAGGATGTGGTCATGGTTGATGCGCCCGTTTCTCAAATCACCGTTGCTAGCCGGCCATCTAGCCCACAGGCAGACAAGGCGACTCTAGACGACGATCCAAGTGTCATGGATACATCCGAGGATATAAAGGGCAAAGGCGAACCCGGATCCGATGATAAGGATGCGGCGGTCGCTCAGATCACTGTTCCATCTCCTCAAAGCCAAAAGGCAACAAGCCACAAGGAGACCTGCGGAATCGACGAGTCTGACACCCCGCCTGCTATGAACGGTTACGTCGCCATGCCCAAGCCCGCTCAAGCAACGCCGCCCACGCCTCCCCAATCGACCGATAGTCTAGGGAAGGAGCCTACAGACCCCTTGACTGAAGGCGGGGTGCCCTGGTATTTCAAGCAATTCGATGTGATGGGCACCAGCGCCACGGAACCGGACCCGGAAGAGCCGACCGAAGAAACACGTAGCCCTAGTGAGGAGTTGACTGATATTGATGATGACGAGCTTACTGAGCTAGCCATTGATATTGAAGCCGACACAATCACAGCATCGCCCACCGCGCTGGCGGCACCCGGCAAAGTAGTTTCTCTACCCAAGACCCAAGCTAGTCCTATCAGAAAACGAACACGAGCATCGACTCGAAAGCGGTAGCCTCCCCGTCTCGCGGCACCCTTATTCCTCTTCCTATTACGTCCTTTACCCTTTTTTATTCCTTTCTTTTCCGTACCTTTAGGTGAAGCGCAGGCGTGCGGGGTCTATGGATGATTTTTTGGGTCGTTACCCCCTAATTCTGTTTCTCGATTGGTTTCTTTCTCTTCTTAATCTTGTCATTTTTAAGGGTGGCCAAGACGGTTTTTTTTTTTCCTCTCCTCCCTTCACTGATATAGCGAAAGAAGGCTTCCCCTATGTGTGTACCCATATGGCAAGATGGATTCCCCGTGTTCTTTTCTTTGAATCAGTGCTCTTTTTTCAGCTCCCAAGAGCTGTTGTTTCGGTTTTCTGTTCATGTTATTGTATTTCGCCTCGTTCCCGTTTACTCGTGTTTACCAAGAAATAGGAGCGGCGGATACCTACTTCTTCTTCTTTTAACTTTGGACCTCATTCTCCTTTTTAGAGAGATCGAGTTCTACTATACGTTTATTAAGCGATGGACAAAGGGCGTTTCGGAGGAATATTCTAGGGCTGGAGGGGAGGAAGGAATGTGTGTATTTATTCTATTGCTTAAGGAGACAGGAACAGCAGAGCTTCTCTCGAAGTCGTCAAGTTCCCATCGGCTTTTTTGTGACTTTATAAGTATCTTCCGAGTGTGATCGGGACAACGTGTTGGCCTGAGGGACTGCTGCCGTACGTGCCTGGGCATGTCATGTCCTCTGTTAACCTTTCTAGCCTCGTGAGACGTCCGGACAATTCTAACAAAACCCATCTTTCTCGCACTTCCAGCTCCGCAAGGAGGGCAGTTTAGACACGAGATACCAGAGAAGCGGTATGAAGAAAAGTAGCATACTTTACCAACCAGGCGTGAGTGAGGCTAAAAGGTCCGGCAGAATCGATATTGCCTCGCGTCCACCGCTGCCTGCGATCATTTATCCTGGGGCTGATTCGCAGTTTGTTTTCCTTCTTTGTGCTTGTTTATATATCAGGTCTTCCTTATAGGGCATACCCGAGCCGCTGGTTGGGGTTCTGTTTCGGTTTACATGATACAACGTAGGTTGGGTTAAAAAGAAAGCCGGCGATATGGATGTGGGGATAGACAATAGATATTCGTGTGAGGTCGCCCCAGCAATCTCACGAGGTGTTGACACCACGGAAGAGTACGAGAAGCATGAAGAATGAACGTTCCTGATTTTAAACCAATATGATATGGGGGTTGATGATATCCACGAGGCTCCGAAGTGAGTCTACTTGGAGTACTGCAGAGGAAAGACGGCCTAAAGGTATCTGTCCATTCCGGCGAAAGAGATAAAAAAGTAACACAAAGTAATAATAAAGTGAAACTAGATAGCGTGTCGTGTGGTGAAGAATAGTTGCCACGAATTATCGACAAAATCTCCAGAACTAGTAAGGAACCGGGGGATTGACTTTGGCACTAAGAGAATTAAAAGAAAAAAGACGCGAGAAGCGAGCAAAGGAGTTGATGGACATCACCTGAGAATATTTCTTTTTTTCGTCTAGCCCTGCTGGTTGTCGAGCGGCTGGGACACCAGGGCTTGAAGCATCATCTCTAATGCCGTCTTGGCGGTGGTTCAACATTTAACATTGAAGTTCATGATCATCGCATCGTTGACTGGGGGGCGATGGGTGAACACTACGCTCGTATGAGCAGCTAGTTACTCTATCATTCAGTCCCATATTTGCCTCCACCGGGCTGTGCTTGGCTCCAACCTGGCGCGCTGTTTCTCTCCGGCTGGAAACTCGAAGTCCGAAGCAATGAGTCGATCACCGAAAGGGGTTAAATGGAAGGCAAACTTTTGGAGCATTGGTCTACGAAGTATTAGCTTCCGACGTCAAAGCAAAAAGTTTATTGCAAGGTCGTCAATGGAGAGTGAGAGCAATTCTGGGGAACCTGAGACTCAGGGGTGCATTGCTTTACGGTGCATTGCTTTACCAGAGAAAAGGGGGCAAAAAGGAACGGATTGTGTATACGTGGGACCTTGCCGAAGCAAAGTGGGATTGTCGGCCTCATTGGAAAGAAGTAATGTGAGGGAGCCGTGGATGTCGATGTAGGTTCTACCATAAAGGGAAGAGGACGTGCTCGAGATTGGTCGGGCAGACGTCCCATCCGGCAGATATCAAATATCACCCTTCGTACGAGCAACAACAGGCCGGCTGCTCACGGGTGCGACGAAGCGGCTTAACATCTCCTTTGGCTTTGGTGGCTCTCTCCAGTTGCATTGCCTCTGTGGAGAGGAACCGTTATCCCAGCCCATCCCTGTAATGCGGACAATCGGCCTCTCATTGGTCTAAGGACCTACTTGGCCAGATGTCTGCCTGGAAGGCTGATGACGCCGGGAATGAGGGGGTGGCGTTCCCCGTCGTATCCATTGTCCTCTCTTCCCATGGCGTGGTCGTCTCTTGTACTCTTGTAAAGCCGCCAGTTGATAACGGGGTTGCTGCCGGGCTTCTCGGAGGCATGAAGAGCTTCCGTGAACCTAAACTATTTTGCTGGCCTTTGAGTTTAGATATTCGCTGGCGATTTTCCTCGAATAGATTCAATATCAAAGGCATGTCAAGTTTGCATGACGAATCCAGTGATCACTTGGAGGATGCAGCAGTGGGTAATTGGGCACACGCCAGCCAGCGGCGTGGTCCGACTTGGCCTGGACCGCCCTATCCGGATCCAGGGTTCAACAAGGTTGCTAGCCTGGCTGGTTGGGTCCTGGATCACCATCTGGTCCGAAATCCATTAGAGGCTACTATAATTAGGGCCCGTTCGGCATTCGCCGCCAGGCTGGGCGATGAAAGGGGGCTTGCTCTATCCGCGACGATGTCGATGAAAGTGAAGACAGTCAGTTCTACGATCGAACTCAGCGGATAGAGCGGTAATGATTGATAGTCAAGACGCGTCCGAGCTAGACTAAAAGATGCGTCCATGTACTCTGCAGTACCTCAATAGCGGTCTTGCGCGAAGTGTTGTACATACAACTAGCGTGGTCAGCTTTTCTAGTGTATACCGCGGTGGGCGGAAGGTTAATAGAGTGGGATAGAAAGTGTCTCAGTCCACGATCCAGAGCTGTCTCTTGTTTGCGTTGCTTAAATAACTCAATTTGCCCGGCCAGGACACTGCTGTGTCTTTGAGCTTCATCGATTTTGGTAGGCTCCGGGACACAGAGAATATTGAGGAGATTGTGATCAGGCACGGCAGAGACATTGACCGAATGCTCTTTCCCGCCTGCAAGGCTCGACGAGATGAAGGATCTTTGATTGGGGCAGTATTGTACTTGTGCATGGGACCAGAGTATGGAGTACATGTATCATCGTGGATGGGAATGGTATTTCCTTCCATTGCATTGGACAAGGGTGAGCTTGGGGGTTGTTTCGTTCAATGTTGTGTTTCGTCAGCCGCCCAAGGGATCCTTCCAGCGACATGAGTGGGATGACTTTCTATGGATGGCATGCCCACATCGCTAGGCTGTTATATACTTATTGGACATCCCTCCACGAACCGTAGGTGGACTTGACTGCCTAGACTAGTTGTACACACCACAACAATGTGCGGGTCTGCAGTAGACTCGGTGGATGATTTGATGCCGCCTCGTTCTATCAGTTGATGTGGTTGCCCGAAAGGCTGGACGACCCGGGTCTACCGCAGGCTTATCGACCGGAACCTCTCACCGACACCCATGAAAGGGGGAGATGACCACGCGTGCAGTGCTGTGCAGTGCAGTGTAACAGCTCCAGTCTCCTAACATTAAACTTACCAAAGACTGGTGGTAGAGGGCCGAGCTGATACTGGTTCAACTTCGCACAGGTACTCGGTATTACCAGTGTTACTGTATTGGATTCTGGCTGTCAGGAATCAGGACAACGCAGTTGAGTTGAGCGCAACGCAGGAGAGTAGGACACAATCCGGGATCTCTCGGTACTTCGTGTATTTTATAATAAAGGCTGCCAGGAACATCAGCAAACCAAGATGCTCAGCCACCCCACACTCTGTCCAGGCCAAGTCTGTCTCAGAAGCCTTGTCTTGTGTGTGCGATTCACGTCCTTCAAATCTAGGGTACCAAGGTTCAGTACACCCAGGAGCTTCCTGATTTTCATCATTCTAATTGCATGTTTGGCATCCCAACCTTCTGCGCCATTGACAAGTAGTGGTGGCTCACGACACGAGAGGAGAGAAGAAATTGGCGATGAAGTAGAACTTGATATCCTCGTATATTATTAGCCCGTTTTTTCACCAGAATACTTCAAGCGCCCTTTGGGAGGTCTAGGATGTGCAATTGATCTCACTCGCGCTTTGCAATACTCGAAACTGGAATGGACTTGGGGGTGTCGCGGTCCCAGAAAGGCCTCGGAAAAAGTACAGTTCGATGCTTGGTGAGCGGACGAAGTCCAAAAGTCAGGCATTGAAGCCAGTCCTTTGTGCCTTGCTCCTCCCTGTGCCGTCCACTATCCGCACTCAAATCCAGCAACAGCACGCTACCTCAGCAATAACCCAGCAATAACCCACCAGAAGACCCATTGATTCACCACACCCATCAATTGATTTGTACACCCGCTTCAACCACTCACCCACACCCCCCCAAAATCTGGACTAGACTCTGTACATTACGCTAATGCTTAGTACTTGTTGCTATTACGAAGCAGACCAGAGCCAGTCAAAAAAGCCAGAGCGACGGAACAATTGGAAACAAGGGGGGGCAAAAGTACAATTGTAGCAGGAGCAGGAGAAGAGGGAAGAAAAAAAGACCCAGAAAAGTCCAGAGGAAAAAAAATCTCCCCTCTCCTGCTAAATCCAACGGGCGAAACTTCACTCCAACAAAGACGAATCTCCTTTTCCCCCTCCCTCTCACCCATTTCCCCAAAAAAAACTTCGACGGCGATCAAATAACCCACAAAGCGACGTCTACCTCAGACGACAAAACACGACGATATTGATCATTCTTGTCATCCTGACTCTTTGGCGACCTTCGGCCCCTCGACCGGGCTGATTTATTTATTCTCAGGCGAATATTTTACTCCGGCGACCTCAACGCGTTGTTGTGCGAAATCCCCAACGCCCGACCTCGATTCCCTCAACCAGACCATATTTTCCAAACATATCCCCACGTCGGCTGTCTCTTTCCATCGCGGAGCAGCCCTGACGACGACGACGACTCGCCCATCCCGAGCGACTTCGAATCATCATTATAGATTCCCACCCGTCTCCTTCTTACGACATTGACGATTGCACTGAACCCAATTTCAGGCACGACAGGCGATTCACTCTCCTCGGAGAGTCCACCCTGCTGCGATCACTTCTATCGTGAGTTTTCCCTCTAGATCCGCGTTTCTCCTGCAGTCGCAGTCGCACCTTCCCCTCCTCCTCCTCCCCACCTGCCAATACCATTCACCACTCACTTGTCCCTGTGTCCTGTCGTCTCTCCCCCTACATTTTTTTCTGTATTCCCCCTTTTGTTTCGATTTTGTCGTCTTTTCATTTTTTTTTTTTTTTTTTTTTTTTTTTTTTTGGATTACCCGCCACCGCCCTAGTCCTAGACACCCATCGGAATTTTATTCTCCTCTTCTGGCATATGCCATCACTATCTACTACCTTGGAGCGCTCCATAAGTCGTGGATTCGGCTGTCCTTCTCAGCCCCTCATCGCCGTCCTAACGCCTGTGCTTATGATCGCGAATCGGTACTAATTAGAGCGTGTACGCTTCTAGATTTTTGAGGAGTGCATCATTTTAACATACGAAGCATACCATCCGACAGACTCATCCACTGCGGCGTCTCTTGTCTAGTGCTGTCACAGCTTCCAACTCCCCTCCCCTCTCCGTACCCGTGGGCCATCTCTCCGGCGCGCGAGAACTCACCACGATGGCCGACCAACACGAGGTCGATCTCGATTCTATAATCGACCGTCTCCTCGAAGTCCGAGGCAGCCGTCCCGGAAAGCAAGTTCAGCTTCTCGAGTCTGAAATCCGATACCTCTGCACGAAGGCGCGCGAGATCTTCATTTCTCAGCCCATTCTTCTCGAGCTTGAAGCTCCTATCAAGGTACGCATTTCTCGTTTCCACTTCTTTATTCCGAATCGTCTTCGGCTCGCTGGTATATAAAACATAAAGAGGAGAGAAGAACTGTCCTTTTCAAATACATATATCCACGCCTGCTGCTCGACTTGATCTCGCCAAGGCTCGACAAGGCCCTTGGCCGAGTCCGTTCTTCCCGATATACCCCACACCATCCGTACTGACGTCACGTTTGCGCTTCGAAAACAGATCTGTGGTGATATCCACGGGCAATACTATGACTTGTTACGCCTATTCGAATACGGCGGATTCCCTCCCGAGGCGAACTACCTCTTCCTCGGTGACTATGTAGATCGTGGCAAGCAGTCTCTCGAGACTATTTGCCTTCTGTTGGCCTACAAGATCAAGTACCCTGAGAACTTCTTCATTCTCCGCGGAAACCACGAGTGTGCCTCTATCAACCGCATCTACGGTTTTTACGACGAGTGCAAGCGTCGGTACAATATCAAGCTTTGGAAGACCTTCACCGACTGCTTCAACTGTCTGCCCATTGCAGCCATCATCGACGAGAAAATCTTCACTATGCACGGCGGTTTGAGTCCTGATCTTAACTCTATGGAGCAGATCCGCCGAGTCATGCGTCCCACCGATGTATGTCGTATATTCCCTCCACCCTATCCCTTGGTCGCTTCCTTGCTTTTGTTTTCAACCTCACCATCCCGCAACGGGGCTTCATTCGCTCAGACTGTCCGGCATTCCCCCCTGAGCTCTTTCGAAGACACTGACCCGTCCCTCTTCTGTGCTACTTATATACTTCTCTGGAGACTTTGTTTCGCTAACCCCAATTCGTTACTCCCCCCTCTTGACAGATTCCCGATTGTGGCCTGCTTTGCGATCTTCTCTGGTCAGATCCTGACAAGGACATCACGGGTTGGAGCGAAAACGACCGTGGTGTCTCGTTTACTTTTGGTCCCGACGTCGTCTCTCGATTCCTCCAGAAGCACGACATGGATTTGATTTGCCGAGCTCACCAGGTAGTCGAAGACGGTTACGAGTTCTTCTCCAAGCGCCAATTGGTCACGCTGTTCAGCGCGCCCAACTACTGCGGCGAGTTTGACAATGCCGGTGCTATGATGAGCGTCGATGAGAGTCTGCTGTGTTCCTTCCAGGTTCGTTTTCGTTGCCCCGTTTTCCCCACCTAGGCCCGTCTCGAATTTCGGAATCATCGGGAGCTAACATGACACGAATATCCAGATTCTCAAACCGGCCGAGAAGAAGCAAAAGTACGTCAATCGCGGCATGTTGGGCAGCCCTGGACCCGCTACTCGATCCAAGTAAAGCACCCGGGTTGAAAAAGAAGTACCGAGCCTTATTGTTTTCTGTTTTATTTAGGTTCCGTCGATAAACAGTCCGCGAATAACGTCCAATCCGGGACATGATATTTTCCTCTCTCGAACGTCTCCACAGGCTGAGTTCCCCTCGTGCTCGGCTCAATCGACCCTCCCAGCTTTCCGACACTGGTACTGGGCGCCCTTTGAATGTCTGTGTCTTTTATCATCAATGATTTTCTTTTCTTGTCGTCTTTTTTTCCCTCTCCCTTGATTCGTTCTTCTTCCCTCTCGATTTTGTAACGACGTACTCGATGTTTTTTTGGACCTCTCGACATCCTTTTATCCTTGCGCAGAGCATTCATCAACTGCTTCAATGCCCGAACCGAAACCCTGCGAGCACGACTGACATCATGGCATCTGGTTGTTCTCTTTCTCTTTCTGCTGTTCTTAACCTAAAGATCCCCCTCAACATCAGCTGTAATTTCTAGTGTCAAGGATCCTATCAAAACTTGAGGAGCTTTTCAGGTTGGAAATTTAACTCAACTTGGCATTCCACGATACAGCACTGGGAACTGGGCAGTCTCTGTCAAAACTACCTCGGAATCCGCGTTGCACAGTCCACATCTTATAGCTTACGACAACATCTGCTGCGCCTTTCAAACTGTACAACACCTTTTTGTTTCCTGGCCCCGAGTTGCACGCCCCCTTTTCACTATACGTTCAAATGACTGCAACCTGGAGGATTGGTATCGTAATGGGATGATAGGATGGTGACTTCGCACAGGGTACGAAACTTTGATTGGCGAGGGATGTACCAACGTACACAAGCCTTGTGGATATGTGGATATCGAGGTTCCCTATGTTTCGTTTGTTCGGTTAGGAAGGCTCTGGGGGGTAGCGACGCTTCCCAACTGGACACCGCCAGTCTCGCAGAAGCTCAGGAAACGGTCAATAGGCATGGGCTGCAGTTGTTTTTTTTTTGTACCAACAAGAGAGGGGCTTTGGTAGAGGGAATGGTGAAAAACAGCGAGACCATAGTGATTTCTTGTGCTTCTGCCTGATGAGCCCGGATCTTGAGAGAGACGCCCTCCCCTTTGAATGAGCGGATGATGGAACCCGGCCCGCCCATGCCTAGGGGTTCGAGAGATAGCGGAGTGACTTGAGTTGGAGATTGTGGCAGCGTGGTGAGGGGAAACGCGGGGGGTTGAGGAATTCGCAGCATCGCCGTCTTCAGCTGTTTTTATGTACCAGCCAAAGCGTCATGTTTCTTAAAACGAAGGTAAAGCAAGCAGGTATGAGGATATGCAGCGCAGGTAACTAGGATTTTCGAAGGGCCTCGAAACTTTGGAGTTCCTCGGAGCAAGATCCCGAATGCAATGACCAAAATGTTTTTTTCCCTTGTTTTTCCCGCTCCTCTTGGAGGCGCGTTTCCTGACGTGCTATGTACACCTGTGCAAGCCTACTCCATTTGAGGGAAATGCGTGCTGCCATTCTCAAGCACGAAGCCGAGCGACGATTGACGATCTTGTCGATCTCGGAAGACAACACGGACAGCCCATTCTTAACTCTGTGGTGTGGAATGGGAATGTATATATCGCTCTATCTAATCGCGGCAATATTTAAGTCCCCAAGATGGCAAGTTCAACACTCCCGCAATCTTAGCGCTGATGGTATCCTCTTCAGACGCCATCTTTCCTCGCCTCGCCTCAAGTAGAGTGTCACGAGCACCCCGCATACTTACTTACTCGCAGTCCTGACAACCTTCCTTGGAATTCGGCGCACAGGACGTGCTCCCAATCTCAACCGCGTCTGTTCCCGATGACGCAATCTCCACATTCTTATTCTTCTCTGCGGCAGCTTCATCAGAAGACGCGACGACCTGGGTTGTCGCAGCTACCGCCGCCGCCGCCGCCGTCGTCACTTGCTTAGCCGCTCCGTGCTGGCGGTCGTTATGGCCCAGGTTCCGACCTGGATCAATGACGTCCCTAACGCGGCGCTTAAGCTCCTTCGTCTCAGGGAAGCCGCCGTCCACAGCGCGGTTCCAGAGGACCTTTGTCACCAGGACGGGGGCCGAAGCACGCTCTTGCGCCGGGTCTACTTCCTCTGCGGGTGGGTAGGCGGCGATTGAGACGATGAAGGTTCCGCCTTGGGAGGGACGGAGGGATACTTCGGCGAGGGAGGATTGGAAGGTTGAGAGGAGTTCTTGGGCGTACTTTTATGTGTGGGGGTGTTTGCAGGTTGTGGGTATATTTCAGTCGTCTATCGAGCTGGAGCTTTTCAAGTCAAGTTTAAGGAGGCAGGGGATGGACGTACGTAGGCGGCGCGGAGCATCCATTTGCATTGGGTGCAGTATTCTATCGTTACGCGGGGGTAGACGAGATGAGCTGCCACGAGGGGTTTGGGAGCTTCAGACATGGTGGCGATCTTTGGCTGGGGACGTGGGGTGGACTGGGAGACGAGGAATGCTTCGGAGGGAGAGGGAGGACCTTGTTGGTGTTTCTTGGAAGGTCGATTGGGCTTTCCGGGAAGCTGGGTTGACTGTTGATCGTGAGGGTTTCGATCGACGTTGGAACTTGCGCAATTGGAACAGGACTACCAACACAAACCGCAACGGTGATAAAGTTTAAGGTTGCGAGGTAATGCCAATGAGTACTTCGTGACTCGTCAGATTATTAATGTCGATCCCCCCTTAGAACACGGATTCCGCACTTTACATACTTCGTACGTACTTCGTACAGGCGTTGATCATTGAGAAAATGATTGATAAATTCGTTCAATTACAATCGCGATTCTACTTCGTAATTCGTGCAATGATCAAATATGACGAAGAGAACAGCCCAGACCAAGAATTCCATTCAAGATGCTCAGCTCAGATACTTCACCCGACGTCCCGAGGAACTCAGAGACACCCCCGGAAATCCCCTTTCAATAAACGATCCCAGAAGAGTTACTCTCTCCCGGCCCGGTGCAGTGGCATGAGGTGGACCCGGCCGGGGGGAAATATGCCCAACTTGTAAACACTATCGATTCTATTTTCCTTCTTTTCTGTCCCAAACATCGGAGCATAATTATTAGCTGGCTGCGCGTAATAAGGGCGCAATCTCATAATTCTAATATATTACTATTCGTCGATCTCAACCAACCCGGAAGTGATCCGATTCTCTCAATCCTCGATTTCGGCCTTCCGTCTAGCTGCATATTTTCCTTCCCTCCTTCCTTCCCTCCCCCGTGCCAGTGCATGCGTCTAAAATTGCACACGAGCCCAGCAGGGCAGGTTCCCCCGGTTTTCTATCGGACTTGGGGGTGGGCTATACCAAGGAGTCAAGGACCTCGTCTCTTCCTAGCCTAGTCTAGTGTCGTTCGAAAAAAGGTTCCTCCATCGACCCGAGGGTCACAACCGTTTTGTCGGCAAGCGCGACAAGCCCCCTTTACGGGAGCCTATGGTTCCTTTTCCGAATGAGAGAATCCATGTCTATGAAGTTGTCGATTGGATGTGGGAGTCTCGGCTTCTTGGATATCCAAATCGTTACTTCGTACTGCGTCCTTTTTTAAAGTTTGAGTGAGTGCAAAACAAGTTGTGTTCCTCGTGCCAAGCTGTAATCTCCAAGCCATGCCACACTCCGTTGTAAATTTTACCCACTCCGATTACCACATTAGGGTTCAAGTTCCATTTGTACGGAGTACGCGATGCCAGTACGAAGTATGCGTAGAGACTGGATGTCCATCAGCACATTGCAGTGTGCCCTCCCTCTACGTCCCATCATGTTAAAAACACAAGCCCACAGAGTAGCGTCACGATCTTTTCCCAGAAGGCCAGGGGCGTTGAAAATGAGATCTAGTTCAGTATTCATATTCACACACAAATAGGTGAAAAGGATAAGACCAAGGAAAAAAAGAGAGAGAAGGAAAAACAGAGGTACAGGGTATATCCACCATGGATATGGTAAGACGCGGATGGGGTAAATGAACAAAGAGGAAAGGAAAACTTGAAGAAACGAAACTAAACACACAAGAAATAAAAAAGACGTGAAGTACGTATTACATGCCCCAACCAAGTCTTGCCTTGTCAAGTCAATGACAAGGCAAAATGAGAGCCTCCCTCCTGTCCAGTCCGCCCTGGCCGGAAATCATGGTCGTTCCAAACAAAGAAAATGCGATGACGGGGGGCTTCCTCTCCATCACTATCCAGAACAGTTCCAACGCAGACAACGGATGTCCATGCCGATGACCGTGATGAAATCGTTGTTGCCCCTCGTCATCCTTCGCTTCCTCACACCCAAGCACTCGTAGAGACCGGCCTAATCAGTCGGCTCTCAAATCACACGCGATTAACTTTTTTGTTTTTCGGGACTCTTTTCGCCGCTTCTTTCCGTAGATTAATTTTTCGTTATGGGGGGAACACACACAAAGACTCGGTCGAAGGCTGCCGATCGGTCGAAATGAAGGTTGGTGACAGTTGGGATGGCCCGGTCGGCGGTGTCGGTCGTTGGCATGTCCTGTGATCCCGAATATTCTGTACAGTTTGACACAAAAAGAAAAACGACCTTTCAAGTCGATAGGCTCCACTCTCTCCATCTCGTCACGGTCATCCATACAGCTCTCGTGGTATTTTTTATTTTAAATCGCAGAAAACAGGCTCGACGCTCGCCACAACGAAAGGTGCTACTGTGATGGTTCCTTACATCACTAAGCAGCAGCCTCCGCTCTGTTGTGGCGCGTAAGGATCTTCTCCTCTAGGAACGGCACCCCAGACTGATGGCACCATGTAGTCTCTCGTGCTGTTGCAGTAGGCGATGATGCTATTTCGAAGTTAGCATCGAACGAATATTGATTCCATTCGGAATCCACGACATGCTGTGTCCGCCATCCCAAAGACTACAGGGGATCATGTCGAGGAGCCGGTCTAGCATCAAGAACTAGGCCTCGACCAGTCAGGAATCTGATCTTACCTTTTCGCCGCGCTGCTCACGGGGATCCTTTCCCTCTCGAGATCTTCTCGCAGGCGATTGTTGAGTTCGGTTAGACGGCGAAGCTTCAGGTCGGCCATCGACTGCTTGCCCTTCTTAATCTGCGACGTGTCGCCAACCTCTCGGGGGTTGTATTGAGGCATCGTGTAGGGGGGTCTAGGTTCGGGTGGATGGTAGGATGGTGCGGTCGGATAGGAAGGATTCGGTATCGATGAGCCGTTTGCAGAGTCGATCCCGTTATTTGATGAATTGAGGGAGGCAGGAGCCTGATCTTGTTGTCGATATTCCTGCATTTGAGGTTTAACGGCGTCAGTGTCGACGTCCTCAAGATGAACCCAATGGATTGATAGTTTCCGAGGCGAGATGGGGCACGTCTTCCAATTGGCGAGTGGGAAAATACGTTGCTGCAACCACGTATCGAGACAGCCGGGTGATGCGATCAAGGTCGTTCCCTCACGGTGAATTGATTGTCTTTGAAAGACCGATGGTTCTCCTCCGATCAGAGTATAGCAAGGGAGGGGGCCTCGAATTGTAGAATCTCAGGAGGGCTAGGTGTGGGAGGGAAGGGGAGGAAGGTGTATTCAGGGGTGGGCGCGACTCACAGGCCTGGAATCGGTTCAGATTGGGATGGTCCAAAGGCGTTCAAAAGATTTGGCCTTTCCCTTCTTCGCTTTCCAAATCGATCAATCCGATGGAATTTGCTCGAGAGTTATTGTCTTGGCGTGGTGGTAAAGGGGGGGAAATGGCGTCGCGATATTCGTGAGGATCCGAGGGTCCGGAACAAGAAACAGGAGGTGTGAGGTGTGGTGGTTGTTGTGTTGCGGAAGTTTGCTGGACGGAGGGAACAGCTTAGCGAGAATAGGTGGATAGAAACAGGATTGAAGGGGAAAGATGGGGCAAGCAATTGAGTGGAGGCGTCCTCAGAATACAATTGTATTGCTTCAATGTTCTTGTGGTCAGTGTGTGTACCTAGCAGTGGTAGCACTGGGACCAGGCTTTAAACTACGTTGGGGGAGGAGGGTGAAAAAATCAAAAAAGACAGAGAACTTGGAGGGAACATTGAGAGATCAAAATGGGAAGCGAATGGTGGGTAACATACTAACGAAGACCCCCCTTGTATCGTGTGGAACTTCTTTGGTCTTTTGATCGTACGGATACAATCCTTCGGGTGGTGACCTGCCCCGGAGCATTCCCAACTCCCTCACTACAATACTACAGCACACACCTCAAGCGACTTCGTACCTCACACACAACTCGTATGTAGCACGAAGGTCTGGTGTATTGCAATACGCTACAAGACGCTATGCAAGCCACTAGTCCATACCAAGAGCAAGCCACTCGAATCTTGTTAGATGATGGCACGATTTTTGAATAATAGTCTAATGTTGATTGAGCAAACGGGCCCAAAGCTCGGGCGAACCCAAGACGCAACTGAACTGCAAAACCTCGCTGCAATCGCCAGCAAGGCAGAACATTGAACCAGACGCACATCAATTCCTCGCAGCACAAGAGTGCAAAAATAGCCCCTGTGAATGGACAATTCTGCATCCTCCCCTTCGCAAGTAAATGCACCAGAGCTCCGTGCATGATACATTACCTCGTACAAGTCACGGGTACGAATAAGGAGGACAGGGAGAGGGAATCGAAATTACTCCGTCTCGGACGAGACTCAGCAAATGTTCAATGTTACTCGTCACCTCCAGCAGCCAATGTTACTGGCCTCAAGCCGAAATTAGGCCTCCATTGGCTGGAGATTACTGCAGCTAATGAGGTGGACCGTGCCATAACCCTCATTGCTCTTCAGCCTCTCCTGTTCAAATTGTTCCTTTCCCTTCCCCCACCCTTCATCCGACGGGCCCCCTAAAAAGAAACCATATTCTCGCTCAATCGATTCCCCGGATTGTTGCAAGCCCAAGCGCCCCGTTAAAAGGAGCTCAGCCGCTCCCCGCCGAAGCTTAAACGATGAATCGGCCCATGGCCAGAACAGTATGACGAGATCTCATCTGGCACCACTTTTGGCACTTACTAGTGGAATAGTACTTCAAGACTCCACGCTGCCGCTGGCGGGCGGATGTTTTAGTCGTCCTCTGCTCCGTGCTGGGAATATGTGAGCCGGCTATTTTGACATCTTGCTTCTTCCCGCTGGGCCTTCTTTGCGGACCGCTGACAGAGATTGATCCGACCATTTGTGTCTCAGCTGACCCTTTGCTGGCCCAGGAAATCTCGCCTACATCTCCCCGGGTTGATGATCTGCACATCGACACAGAGACATACAGTTTCCCCGAATCACTGCCGTTCCCGTCTACCTTCTTCCGGGTGCTTTCATGCCACTCCCAGAACTGACGTAAGGGCGGCAAACACAATGGTTTTAACGATGAGATTCCAAATACCTCGCCGTAGCACCCTTTTTACCCGGTTTGCACCAAAATGCTGACCATCAGACCCAGGAGGCGCGAACCTATTATACCGTGTAAATATGCCAGGGCACTGTATGCTCATCGTCATCAGAACGCGTCTTCCAACTTTGTCCTGAGGTCACGAAGTACTTTGGAACCTCCAGCCATTTTAGCGAGAAACACCCGCGACACCTTAAATCCATTGTTCCCTTCAATTGTTCTTTCTGACGGAGACTCCAGCCATTCGATCTTGACTCTCGAGTTGCAAACCAAGGACAATTTAACTTCACTTCGTAGTTGGTTGTGTTCATATTCTAGGAACTTCACCCAAATAAAAATTTCCCCCGGCGATAATCGTAGATTTGAAGCTTCTCAAAGCACTCGGTCTCCCAAGTCTTGATAACCGGTTTTCGCTGTTTTGATGAAGCAGCTTTTCAGCCTCGAAACGTTGACGTGGCTGAATCACGTGATTGTACTTAGCCCCTCTACTGGGGTTGGCGGATTATTATTATCACCTTTTCACACACGAAATTGAAATTTTCCCTGCCTAGGAAGCCGTCAACCTCAAAACTTCATCAAGTTAAGACGTCAGCTCTGTCTGCGTCCATTTCTTTTCATCACGGCGCGCGCTGAGCCTCGCATCGCCTAAACGACATCTCCTCGATATCATCAAGATTTCCCCAGAGGAGGTTGCCCAACATGGTAAGCCCGAGTCTTTCCCCATTCCCATCGTCAAGTAACCTGGAACGCCAGTGTTTTGTTGCCTCTACCCCTCCCAAACCCCTCCTCACATAGTACCCAGCTTCGTCTAGCCGACATTCACCATGCAGCTATGCTCGGTCACAGTACCATCTTTGTTCGTGTCGGTTAACCTTGTTCTTCTTTTCTAGGCTCCTCCACCCCATCAAAAACCCGAAAATGTGCTGAAGCGCGCCAACGAACTCATCGGGGTTAACCAGGCCCCCGCGGCCTTGGTCCTGCTCCATGAGCACATCAACTCGAAGCGATCCCGAAATGTCCCCATCGCCTCCCTGGAACCTGTGATGCTCCTCCTCGTCGAACTTTCCGTCGAGCAAAAGAAGGGAAAACTCGCCAAGGATGCCCTGTACCAGTACAAGAACATCAGCCAGAACACCAACGTTGGCACGATTGAGGTATGCTCTTTATGCGCGCTTTTTTTCACCCTTGCGCTTGTTTTTCTTGTTGTTTTCTACTTTCGTTCGGCTACTGACCCCTGAGAACAGCTCGTACTGAAGAAATTCATCCAACTCGCCGTCGACAAAGTCACAGCAGCTCAGCAAAAGGCCGATGAGGTCCAGTCGAGCCTCGAAGCCACCGCTGCTGGCGAGTCCAACATCGAGGACTTGGAGGCCAGCGAAACACCCGAGTCCATCCTCCTGGCCACCGTCTCCGGCGAGCAATCTCGTGATCGAACCGATCGAGCTATTGTCACCCCCTGGTTAAAGTTCCTTTGGGAGGCCTACCGCACTGTTTTGGATATTCTGCGAAACAATGCCCGCCTTGAGCTTCTTTACCAGAGCACCGCTCTGCAAGCCTTCGATTTCTGCCTTAAGTATACCAGGAAGACCGAGTTCCGGAGGCTTTGCGAGCTGTTGAGGAATCACGTCCAAACCGCCGCCAAGTACTCGTCCCAAATGCATGCCATCAACTTGAGCGACCCCGACACTCTCCAGCGCCACCTCGAGACCAGGTTCCAACAGCTCAACGTTGCCGTTGAGCTCGAGCTCTGGCAGGAGGCCTTCCGCAGCGTTGAGGATATCCACACCCTCCTCAGCCTTAGCAAGCGACCCCCCAAGAACATCATGATGGCCAACTATTACGAGAAGCTTACCCGTATCTTCCTCGTTGGCGAGAACTATCTTTTCCATGCCGCCGCTTGGTCTAGGTACTATAGCCTCCTTCGCCAGTCCGCTCTTCTCCTTGCCACTGGTCAGGGCCGCAAGGCCGACAATCCTCCCGCTGCCGAGGCGGATATCCAGCGCGCTGCTTCGTTCGTCCTCCTCTCCGCCCTCGCTATTCCTGTGATTAGCACCACGAGGTCCCGCGGTGCCATGGTTGATTTCGACGAGGCCAGGAAGAACAAGAACTCCCGCCTCACCCACCTTCTTGGCATGTCCCAAGCTCCCACTCGTGCCGGCCTCTTCCGCGATGCGTTGGCCAAGTCTCTGCTCAAGAGGGCCCGACCTGAAATCCGCGATCTTTACAACATCCTTGAAGTCGACTTCCACCCTCTTTCAATTTGCCAGAAAATCTCCCCTATTCTGACCAAGATTGGCGCTGATACTGAGATGGAGAAGTATATCCTGCCTCTGCAGCAGGTTATCCTCACGCGCCTGTTCCAACAACTCTCCCAGGTGTATGAGACTGTCGACTTGGCGTTCGTTGAGAACCTGGCCAAGTTCCCTGAGCCCTATCAAGTCACTCGCGCCACTGTTGAGAAGTTCATCATGAACGGAAACAAGAAGGGCGATTTGTCCATTCGCATGGACCATGCTACCGGTGTCCTCAGCTTCGATAACGATGTCTTCTCATCGTCCAAGGCCGGATCGGGAGCCGGATCTGCCGAATCCGAGACCGGCTCGATCCAGAGACTCCAGAGCACTCCCTCCGAGATCGTTCGATCTCAGCTCACCCGCCTCGCCAAGTCCCTCTACACTACCTGCTTCTACATTGATCCGAGCTTCAGTAAGAGCCGTGCCGAAGCCCGCCAGGCAGCCCTTGCGCGCGCCCGTGCCGGAGCGGAAGAGGAGCACAATGCCATCCTTCAGCGAAAGGAGGTCATCGAGCGACGAAAGGAGGCCGCCTCCGAGGCTCAGGCCCGAAAAGAGCGTGAGCTTGCCCAAAGGAAGCGAGAGCAAGAGCAGGCTCTCCAGGAGGCCGAAGATCGTCGCCTCGCTGCGGAGCAGAAGGAGCGAGAGGAGCGCAGGCTCAAGGCTGAGCGGGATCGCGTTCGCAAGGAGGAACTCAAGAAGCAGATCGCTGATCTCAAGATCGGACCTAACGCCATTGACATTGATATGGACAATCTGGAGAACCTTGATAGCAGTGAGCTTCGGAGGATGAAGCTCGCGCAGCTCGAGAGGGAGAAGAATGATATCAACGAGAAGCTCCGAATCACCGGAAAGCGTATCGACCATCTTGAGCGAGCATTCAGGAAGGAGGAGAGCAAGAAGTTGCCCGCGGATTATGAGAAGCAGACGGAGCAGGACAAGGCCACGTACGATGTTGTCAAGGCCCAGACTCTCAAGGATGCGGAGGAGAAGCACAAGGCTGCCGTCGAACTGAAGGGCAGGCTTAGCAGGCTGGTGCCGTTCTTCACGGAGTTCCGCAGCGATCTCCACGAGCGCCGCCGCGACGAATTCGAGTCCCGCCGCCGTGATGCGGAGAGGGAGCTTGATAGGCAGATTACTGCTCGCAAGAGGGAGTTCAAGGAGCGCAAGCTCCGAGAGAAGCGTGAGCGTGAGGAGAAGGAGAGGCAGATCCGCGAGGCCGAGGAGGCGGCCGCTCGCGAGCGCGAAGAGAAGCAGAGGCTGGAGGAGGCCAAGCGCGAAGAGCTTGCTCGACTTCGGGAGCAGAGGGCTCGGGAGTCGGAGGAGGCCCGCGAGAAGGCTGCTCTTCAACTCAGGCGCGAGGAGGAGGCTCTTGCCCGACGCAGGGAAGAGAAGGAGAGGGCCAGGGTCCAGGCGGAGCGACCCGAACCTTTTGCCGCCGCCAGCAGTGCTGGCCGCCCACCCCTCAAGCTTCCCGGTGCTGGAAAGTGGAGGGAGCGCGAGGCCGCCAAGGCCAGCGAGGGAGCTGCCGCACCCTCCCGTGCAGCTCCTCCCATGGAGCGAACGGATTCCCGGGAGCGCGTTGGTGCCGCCCCACGCCTCAACCTTGCGGGTAGCGGTAATAAGCCCAGCTGGCGTGATAGGCAGCGTGAGAGGGAGGCCGGTGGCCGAGACGACAGCAGCAGCCGTGCTGGACCCCGTGTGCCCTCTGGCGCCGGCGGTTACCGCATGGACCGTACCGATTCGGGCAGGGGCGCCAACGGACGAAACGAATCGCCCGCTGCCCCCGCTGGTGAGCCCATCCGGCCCTCCGGCGCGCCCGGCAAGTGGGTGCCTCCTCACAAGAGGACTTGAAAATGTTTTACGCCAGTCCGGTTATAAGTCGCATTTCCTCCTTCGTTTGGTCAAGTCAGGGATTCATCTCGCTTTGTTTCATTTTCTACTTTTGGCGTCTAGGATCTGGCAAAGGGTAGAGGTTTAAGCAACGAAGATAGTGCAAAAGGGGTGGAAAGGAGGAGGGAAATGCTGCTCTTTGTTTTTTGTACGTTCGAAAATTGAAGTCCTTCCCGGTCGTCCTTCACGATATTCCGGACTCCCCAAGGACTGGTATAATGAGGCAGACGGCAGCTTCGGGCCTAGTTGTAGATTCAAAATTGCATTCTTGAGCATTTACAGACGAACATTAGTCGTGGGTGAATCGTTGACATAGTTAGTTGTTGATGTTTGGTATCTCTATCGTTCCTCTCACACTACACGCAAGTCCGTCCTTTGCAGTGATCTGAGAGCATTGAACAATGTACAAGGCGATTGGCTGTTAGCGATGCAAGCTTCACTGTTGGCACTTCCTCCTCCCCTTCGTCATGTACCTTTGTACTTCGTATTCTCCGCGCGGTCTCTCCAACCAAAGTCGGCAGAGACGAAGGTGGCTCAATGTATTAAGATATACGAAGTGGAAGGTGGATCAGTGTATTCAGATATACGAAGTGGAATGAATGCGCTTTGATCAGAGGGGAGCCACCACATCAGCTTTGACACTTTTTTCATGTCAAGTTATTGACAACATCGAAGCAGACCGCGTCAACCCTAACGCCTTCTCAGCTGAACCATTGATCGCCGATTGACCCACAAGGGGTCTCCAGAAACGGACATATTTTGCTCTCCTCTCCAGACTACGATCATGCTAGAAGAATTCTGCGGAACTATGCTCCCGTCCTAGTTTTCCGTCTTGTCTTAGGAAAGAGAAAGAGAAAGACAAGAAAAAGAACAGAGAACACAAATAAAGGTGAGACAAAGAAATGCCCAAAAACCTGGGGTCCTTTTCCAAAGCATGGGGAGAGAAGAGGAATGCTTCCGGGAGCGGCTGAAGATTTTGGGACCACATCCGCATGAAGAGGCGCCGCTTTATTGATTCTGGCTGTTCCGACTTTCCCGTGCTTCGTATTGCCAGCGGGCGGAAAGAAGTGTCGAGGGCGACCAGGCGCTCCAGCACAGGTGCTATTCTCTCGACCTAGCTGTATTTAGCACCTACATCCAGTCCTATCTACCCACTCTTTCCTACGAATACAGTAAAGACGAAAAGAAGAAGAAAAAAATAAAAATAAAAAATAAAGATGAGAGCGGACGAGTGGTATTATTGAACCCGCGCGGATTGGGAGAGAGCAGGACCTCAGCGGAAAGTTAAAAACACCGGCGACACAAAATGGTGTAAGTCCTGTTCGCGCCCACAGTGGCAGCGGGTTCGGTGCTCAACTTCAGGACATGTCATCGTGAGAGTGGCTGCGAGGAAAGTCAGGCAAGCCAGCAAGAGAAGAAAACAGATGGGAAATGAGATGGCGCTGACAGGCTGGCGTTTTCCTCGGGACCTGACATTGCAATTATCGTGATGGCGAGCATTGAAGTACCAGGCTTGAAGGGCCACAGACCGAGCGACTGAGCGCCCATGGAGAAGACATCCATGGAGCACGACTTTGTGAGAATAGCGCAAGTACCACGACGAGATGGAGACGACGACGACGACGCCGCCTACGACTCACCTGAAATGGTCAACAACGGGCCCCTCCAATCTCACCATGCAGGTCGAAAAGAACAGCCCTAAAGCTGCAGGGCCCCGCCTGAAACCCCTGTCAAAGCCGAGGGCCACAGGGCAAGAAAACTCCATTCGAATCAATAATCAGAAGCGTGGATGGCGTCGTCGCAGCCCTGGGCGTCCAAGCCACGACCAATTTTGTGAGTTGTCAGGGTGTTCTAGCGGCAAACCTACTCGTCTCGTACTAGTAGCCGTGCCCGAGAATGTCATCGCGTTGAAGAAAACCCCCTTGCGCCATGCCTGTTTGGGAAGAGCACCCTCATTTTTTTTTCTCTTCCCTTCATCGTTATACCGGCCGACAAGCGAGCTGAAAAAGGGCCAGCGCACAGCCTGGCCAGCATTATGGATACTTCATTGAGCATGGGCTAGCGCCGTGTGATATTGGTCGGAGACGACGAAAATGAACTGACCTTGTGCTGAGGTTTTTGACGAGACCATGCGGGTTTTCCCACTATTGCTTCGATGGAATCCAGAGTCGCAGCCGCCCAATTCTCGTGTTTTGGGATGACGCTGCAGTTCTGCGCCGTTTTCTCAGCTTTCACCATGTGGCAGCAGGACAGGATAGGGCAGGATGGCTGGCCCTTCCCGAACAAGCTTTCCAAGGGTGTGGAGCGAAGGTGAATGTTACCTTGGGCTTTCCTTTTTTCCGCAGATGCCGTCTTGGTATTATACAAAGTACTTAAACTTACATCGATGGAGGTATCCAGTCTCCTCTTACTGGTTCCCGGCGTGCGGTGGCGCGCAGACTTGGTAGTTGCTGGGTCCATGTTATAATAGCGTCTGTCCTATGCGCCGGTGCCCCCCTCAGAGGGTGAACAGACGAGGACGGAAGAGGCAAGGACAAGGGGTAACGGATGGAGAGAGAGAGGAATCCGGGCGAGGCTGCGGTGGGTGGGTGAGACTCTATTATGAAGTAGAAGTATGTTTATAAGTGCAGTAGTGTCTCTCCCTTCCATGTAGGATCAACGGTTTAACCATCCCCGTTCTCGATTGGACTCGTTGTCTCACCGAGTGACATTCGTTCACACATTCGTTCTACACGGGACTTGACTCTTGCCGTTGCTGATATTCGGCTTTAGGCGTGCCTTTCGCTTCCTCTGTCCCACTCACTTTCGTTTTTGTTCTTGCTCTTCAGTTTCTCTTTTCCTCACTTGGTGAAAAAAGCTATGGCTGGTCTAAAGGCCCTCGTTGCCCTCGTGGCGGCTCATCTCGTCCAGCACACCGGGGCCTCTCCCCTCCACTTCCGTGCTGTCGACGTCGATGCTCTTCTTGCACCAGCCTTGGCCGTCAGGGCCGACTCTTGTATGAAGGATTATCTTGGTGCCTGCATGCCGACTATCCCTGTTGGCGCCATTAGTTTCCCTCCGGCGTGCTCTGGCGAACCGATCGTCTCGAGCTCGACTGTAAGCTCGACGGCGTCTTCGACCTCGAGTGAGATTTCGAGCACTGCCTCATCGACATCGAGCGAGGTCTCCTCCACTTCGACTGAGTCCTCGACTTCCACGGAGGTTTCTAGCACTGTCTCTTCGACTTCCAGTGAGGCTTCGAGCTCGACTGAGTCTTCGAGCTCTACCGAGGTTTCTAGCACTAGCTCTTCGACCGCCGAATCCTCGAGCTCGACCGAGTCCTCGACCTCTGCAACTGAGTCTTCGACCTCGGCCACTGAGTCTTCAACTTCAGCCACTGAGTCCTCTACTTCTTCAACCGAATCTTCGACCTCTGCAACTGAGTCCTCGACCTCGGCCACTGAGTCCTCCGCTTCTTCGACTGAATCGTCGACTTCAACCACCGAATCGTCGACCTCGGCCACCGAGTCCTCTGCTTCTTCGACAGAATCTTCTACTTCAGCCACTGAGTCCTCAACTTCAGCCACCGAATCCTCAACTTCAGCCACCGAATCCTCTGCTTCTTCGACTGAATCCTCGACCTCTGTAACTGAGTCCTCGACTTCGACTGAATCTTCAACGTCAACCACCGAGTCCTCAACTTCAGCCACTGAGTCCTCTGCTTCTTCGACAGAATCTTCTACTTCAACCACTGAGTCCTCAACTTCAGCCACTGAATTCTCGACTTCGGCCACTGAATCCTCTGCTTCTTCGACTGAATCCTCGACCTCTGTAACCGAGTCCTGGACTTCGACTGAATCTTCAACGTCAACCACCGAGTCCTCAACTTCAGCCACTGAGTCCTCTGCTTCTTCGACTGAATCTTCAACTTCAACCACTGAGTCTTCGGCTTCTTCGACTGAATCCTCCACGTCTGAGACGTCAGCCTCTTCTACATCGAGTGAGGCTTCGACTACTAGCTCTTCCACTTCGAGCGAGGTTTCGTCCACAGACTCTTCGACTTCAAGCGATGTGTCGACCACCTCTTCTTCCACGTCGAGCGAAGAATCGACTACCAGCTCGTCCTCGTCCTCGAGCGAGGTTTCAACCACCAGCTCTTCCACTTCAAGCGAGGTCTCGACCACCAGCTCTTCGACCTCGAGCGAGGTGTCGTCGACCTCTAGCTCGTCTTCAACCTCCAGTGTAGTCTCAACCACCAGCAGCATCGCCTCGAGCACCACCAGCCCGCCCAGCACGACGTCTTCCCCCGTCGTAACAACCACCCAGCCTCCCCAGCTCTGCACCACCACCGTCGTCACCCCTTCCACCTGCGAGTACAAGGTCGGCAAGTGGTGCGCCAAGGAGATCCCCGACTGGACCGACCAAACCGGCTGCTACAAGGCCAAGAACAGTTGTCAACTCCAAGTCGCCTCCTGCTTCACCAGCGCCGGATTCCCTGCGGCGATCGACTGCTTCAGCTTCTCTGCCTGGTGTGGCGGTATCGACAACCATTGCAGGTCCAGCTGCAGGTCCAACAACAAGAACACCTGCGGCAAGGCCCAGTACTATCAGAGCAATCCGCCCAAGGGCTACCAGCCTCCCACGACTGCCACCTCTACGTACACTTGCCCCTCGACTTCGACCAAGCCTCCGGCGGCTTCGACGACCGCGCCTACCATCCCCGAGGCCACTAACCTTTGTGTCCAACCTACCAGCTGGCTCTACGGCTACGGCCCCGGCAAGGCTCTAGGTGGTGTCGACATGCCCCTCCTCACCTGCAACAACGTCCAGTCGGAGTTCTCTAAGTACCCCTTCAAGCTGTACACGTCTTCCACTGGCTCCCAGAACAAGGGCTACGCTCGTAACAAGGTGGCTACCGGTTGCGCCGACGCCTGCAAGGTGCAGTATAACAGCTGCATTAGCGTCTATGCTCAAGGAAACAACCTGTCCAAGATCAAGTGCAGGGCGCAGTATGACGACTGTGTCTTCACTAACAGGTCTCCCAACGTTTCATCCAAGTGCAAGACCTTTGGCAATTGATTTACCTCTGGCTTCAATGATTGATCTCCAGATTGACCTTGGCGGAAAAGTCATTTGACCTTTTTCACCTTAACCAAGGAATGGAGCCTTTCTCATTTTTTTCCCTTCCCTTCACATCACTCCTTTGTATACCCGTTTAATGGATGGACAAGATGGACTTTTTAATGTAACTAGCACAGGGTTACCGGCTGTTCGAGGGCTATGGATATAAAATAAAGGGCGTAATTCGGGAGTACTTTGTAATAAACGACCATCGACGGTCATCGTCAACGTGTTTTGAAGCTTCAATATTATCAGTCTCCGTGACATCGAACTCGAATACGACGGAGCATGGGAACTTCTGATCACCATCAATAAACTGCAATGCCTTGAACATTATGCCGTTATGCTACTGTACACTGGCATCTCGCGTGGTAGTAGAGACGTCAAGTGTGGAGACTGATCGTGAGCAGAAACATCGAATGACTCGGCGGCGATCTAGAAACGTGGCCATTTTCCGGGATCTCCGGATGAGCTTCCGAGTCGAGTGCCGTGTCGTGTACCGCGTCTTGTTTATATTGATGAATGTTTTATGTTGCAGACCTGGATTTTGCGAAGTGTTTGATAAGATTGAGGGTGCCTATAGATCAATTGCATTCATGTGAAAGTGGTAGGTTGATGGTTGAGGCTGAAGCTATCTTGGGAGGAAATAAAATCCCCCCCAAAAATCTGATAGAAATAACCCTCCAGAATCGACCTATGCCACCCTCTCCTTTACCATTTCTTGTCTCCCTCTTCAACTTCACTCGCTTGATTTCTTAATTATATCAACACACACATATATATAATAATATACATCTCTATAATGGAGCCTCTCGTTTCAAAATACGTACCCCACGTCCTCCTCCATCTTCTTTCCCTCGCACCATCTCAATACTGTCAAGCCTACTTCACCATCCTCGGACTCGGATGCGTCGGCCTCCAGCTCCTACCATCTCTCCAAGATGCCCTACTAAACTACGGCGCCCGCAAAGCCGCCGCTGGTGATAGCACCGCAACAGGGGGCACCACCGAGGAAAGCCTGCTGGTCACGCTCTTGCGCAAGCTAGGCCTACTCACGCGCGTGCCGCACTCGTGGTTCGTGCACTTCTACGTTGCCTTGTTGTGCCTCCAGGCCTTTTGGGCGGTCCAGTTCGTTACGCATGGAAGGATATTGACGACTATTGCCGAGCGGGAGGTTGCCAGTGGGGGAGGGGGGGGAATGACGCTGGGGCAGGTTGTGCTTGTGTGGGTGATGTTGTCGATACAGGGTGCTAGGAGGTTATATGAGTGTTTGGTCATCATGAAGCCCTCTGCGTCTCCGATGCTGGCTGTACATTGGGTATTATCCTTTCTGGTTTACGTCTTCATGAGCATCTCGATCTGGGTCGAAGGATCAGGTATGTTTCCCACCGCTGCTGGGCCTATGGAATCTGTCATAGTAAGCCGCTGGCCCTTGCTAACATTCTGGACGTGTAGCATCGATTATCAATGTCTCCCTGGCAGATGCAAACCTAGCCCCTCCCTTCCATACCCTATTTCCTTTTATCTCCTTCGTCGTGGCATCTAGGCAGCAGCAGGAGGCGCATAAACATCTCGCTAGTCTCAAAAAGTACACGCTCCCGACCCAAGGCCTCTTCAGCAACATCGTCTGCCCGCACTATACATGCGAATGCCTCATCTATGTCGGCCTCGCCGCTGCGGCTGCACCTCGCGGCCACGTCTTCAACCCAACCCTTTTGTGTGCCCTCTTCTTCGTCGTGGCCAATCTGGGAGCGACGGCGAACAATACCAAGCGATGGTATGTTGAGAAGTTTGGTGCCGCCAAGGTCCCGCGATGGAGGATGATTCTGTTCATCTTCTAGATAATGAAAGATAGAAAGACACGGGAGTGGGAAATACATCATAGACTTGCATCACGAAGGGGAAACCGTCATGTTTCCATGAGTCGTTATCGACGTCCGAGCATAGGATTAAACCGATTCCCCAGCTTGATGACCTTGAGCACATCACGATAGGTCAGGCTGATTCGCATCTGCCTCTCATTGCTTCCTTTTTCGAACGGGCCCTTGGAGCCCAGTTGATCCCAGTTCGCGACGGTCTCAGCGGAGAGATTGACGTCTTCCTCAATATCCGCGATGCCGTGTAGATACTCCGTGTAGAGGTCATCCGTGGTGATAAGTATGCTCCTCGGCTCTTGGAGAATCCTGTAGACCGGCTCTGGGTCTAGAGCACCATCTTCCTTGCTTCGATAGAGGTTTAGGCAGAGGCTGGAGCCTAGGCTCACGGTGCACACGACGGGGTGATACGCTGATCCATCCTATGGGCGCATGAGTTTTCGCCCTCTCTACAAATGCCGACCTTTGTTCTTGTTTGGTCCTTTTTACGTTTTGCTATATTACGGCGATTTTTTTGTGTACTTAACTTATGCGGCATGATGCCCACTCCAGGAGGGTATTCGTTTATTAGGACATGGTTCGGCTTCTTGTGCGGGCTGATCGAGAAAAGGTTCGTTTTGGTACCAGAGTCGTCTGTACGGTAATCGATCGAGAGAAGTCGGGAGACGACGGGATCTACGAGCCACTGAGGCAAGGGTTCATCGAGAAGGGCGTTCTTCACTAGGTCGGAGGGCCATGTCTGCAAGCGGCGGTGGGTAAGTTGCTTCCATCGGGGCTTCGGCGCGTTTGCGATCTAGAGTCGTGGGGAGATCAATACCGGCCTTCGAGGGCTTGAGGATGACGGTTGCATCGTGGATATACCTTGTCGAGGATAAACTGTTCCTCCTCTTCTGTGATGAAGTTAGGGAGGTAGTATGCCGATGCTGGGAGAGTTCGAATTCTTGCATCTTCGAGAGATTGGGGGAGTGACGGAAGAGCTGGCGAGGAAGAGGGCGGGGTCGGAGTCATCGTGGTGATGGCCTTATCCGAGGGTTACTTTAGTCGACGAGATTAAGACCAACACAAGTGCAGGAGGCGGAGGGAGATGGGCGGATTAAGCAGTTGATCGTGGGCTCGACCGAGGATATGAGCAAGTCGATCAGTGGTCAGTTAAGAGGCAGTAAGCCCAATTATAGGTACAAAGTACTTTTGTTTTTGGACGTCACGTCAGGCAAAAGGCAACCGGCAATCGTCGCGGAATGGGCTAAGCTGAGTGGCTACTTCCTGTTGGTGGCGTTGCGGTAACTTATAACGGAGATCATCTGGTGTTAACAGGTGGCGGTTTTTGTTTTTAATTGTGGGCCTAAGTTACGATTTTGGTTCGCGTGAGCAAGCAGTACTCAAGTACCGAATACATACTGACGCACCTCTCGTCTTCGTAAACACGAGAGCCCGGTACAGGCAGCAGTGGCCGGAGGTCTCGACACGACCCCCCTGGCGTTCCAAGCCCAGGCTGCAATGTATCTTGGGAGATCATCCAATCATATGCGAAGCCCTGAGATGAGGGTGAGTTTTGATCGAAATTTTTCGGTTTGCATTTGCTCCGGTTGGGTAGACCAGCGAGAGGGGGGAAAATGGAGCAGGATGGAGCCTCGTGGTATTACGAAGTACGCGTATCGATTGATGATGATCTTGATCTGATCAAGGAATCAAGGACGCAAGCCTTGCGCGAGTGCTGCTGAATTGCTCCAGCAGCTGCACTAGCCAGGCCAAAAGTGCGCTCGCGGCCCAAGTGGAGCGCCGTAGCAGAGCCAAGCAGTACAGATAACACGATCCGGCCAAGAAACCCAGAAGGGACCCAGAAGGGATGCAGACCCAGTTGACTCAAACAGGCCAATCAGAAGCTGCCCTGTCTGAGTCTGACACTCTGGGAAAGACTAGCCTAGAGTACGAAGTACCTGTGTACCTTAGTACTTCGTACTTCACAGTCGCAGAGAAGGAGCAGAGTAGGAACAAGGAGCAGGAGAGCAGGAGCAGTGGAGACTGGCTGGCAACTTGCAAGGGAACATTGAAGGAACATTGAACCTGAAATCTCCCCCAAAAGCCCCATTTGTAGAAGGTTGTCAAGTGTTTCCAATTTCGTCGATTCATCACCAGCAATTCCAGCACCTAGAATTCTCAACAACCCCCCCGAGTCCAAGTTCTAATTCCACTTCTTTTGCCTCGTTTGATCACGACCGCGAATCCGAATCCGCCGTCGCCCATCCCCGACGACTAACGCTTCTTGCCACTCCATCAATCCCCTCCAGTGTCTGAGATTGATCCTTTCCCCTCCTTTCGCCTTTCAATCTCCATTTGTGTCCGAAATCGTTTTCGCTGCCAAAGCGGAAAACACGTCGAGCTCTTTCTCCCCCCTCATCTTCGCTCTTCGCCATTCGATTTTACGGGGGGTCACCTTTCGCTTCATTTTTACTATTTTGACCCTCGAACGCCTTTGTGCTCGACTCGATTATTCGACGACGTCCTCCCACGGCTGATCTTGATCCTCATCGAATCTCTTTGCCCCGAGTCCTCTTTTTTTTTGTCATCTTCCTTGACTTGTCTCTCGAATTTTTTCGATCGCTCATCGTCGTCGTCTTGAGAATTGATCTCCACCACGAACAATTCTCATCAATTCGCACCCACCCCGACATTTCTCTCTTTCTCTAATCACGGCCAACTCGCGGCCCAGGATGGTGCTAGGTAGTAGATCATTCCCCAAATAAATGACATGGATGCGCAGAATGCTGCCGGGCCCGACAAGACGAAGCCTGCCGCCGCTGCTGCTTCCGAATCAACCAAGCGACCCGACCATGACCCGGACCAGAACCGATCGTCATCTTCGTCGACCTCTGCTAAACCTCCCGCAGCCGCCTCCAAGCCATCTCCTAATGCGGACAAGGATGTAAAACTCAACACGAACTCGTCCGCTGATGCAGGTGACGACCGTAGCGTAGCCGACGCGGCCAGCTCCGACGCTGAAACCATTGTGCTGCCGGGCAAGGACGGCCACTCGCCTTCCAAGGTTCGAAAGGTAAAGCATGAGAACAGGAGCGATGATGACATTCCTGCAACTGCAAGAAAATCGAGAGATCGTGATCGAGATCATGGAAATGACCATGGTGGTCAACGTGACCACCGTGACAAGGAGAGGGACAAAGATGGTCCTCATGGTAGAGAAAAGGAGAGGGAGAGAGAAAGGGAGAGGTCTGCGACAACTGGTGCCTCTGCTTCTGCATCAAATAGCGCTGCGCCTTCACCTTCTCTCAAAAAGAAGCGACTACCTGAAAAACTCTCTGAAAATAAACCATCCTTGCCAGCTCCAGGTCAAAGAAACAAAGACACCTCAGCGTCGACTCCGACCTCCCCTCCACCGAAACGCCGCAGGTCTACCGATACGAACCCCCGTCAATCCCACGCCGACTCCGATTCAGATAATGCCCGTCACAGGTCGCCGAAGGCATCCAAGGAGAGGGCAAAATCATCTGACAAGGTTATCCCCCACAAGAGGAAGGCGCCTAAAGTCGAATCCGAGGACGAGGAGGAGCAGCGAAAAGCCCGCCGTCAACGGACCGCTCCTGCCTCGACCGGTCCTTCTGGCGGCGACTCCCACTCCGCCTCTCATTCCCACGCGCACGCTCACCCATCAAAACACGGTCGAGACCAGCAAAAATCTTCCAGGCCACACGACCAGACAACTGCTCGTGGAAGATCTGTTTCCCCCCAGCCTCGCCCTCACCGCCGCAGCGCGTCTACTCAATTACCATCACAGTCAATAACTGGCCTCAGTCAGAAGAAGAAACGCGTGCCTGCGCCGCTTCAATCCACAGACTACCATTCGGACGAGTCTTCTGCAAGCGGAAGCCCTCATCCGAGGAGCTCCAAATTGCGAAGCTTGGCCACTCCCGCAACCGCCGACTCCACCATTTCTCCCGCCAAAATGGCCCCTCACAAGAAGCACCTTGATGCGCACGGTCAAACATTCCTGGCCCGCGCCTGCGCCCGCGGCGAATACGAGCAAGCCAAGCAACGCCTCACCGAGCGGCCCGATGATTTGAATGTTGCCGACTATGCCGGAAATACGCCCCTCCAGATTGCCGCAATTAACGGCTGCGAGGATATCGTCAAGCTTTTGATCGATGCGGGTTGCAATCTCGACTGCGTAAATTACGACAAAGATACGCCTCTACTAGATGCCGTCGACAATGGCCATCTCGGCGTGATCAAGCTGCTGCTCGATGCCGGCGTGAATCCTCGCAAGGCCAACGTAAATGGTGAAGAACCCATTGACAGAGTAAATGATGACATGGACAACGCGGACGAGATTCGTGCGGTCCTTAAGGAGGCCAGGCAGCGCATAGGCGACAGGCGACGAACTTCCGAAGAACATCACAACGAACGTACCGATAGTCGCCCTTCTCATGGCCCCGAGAGTCCCCGTCGCTCCCCCGTCGCTACCTCGCATGGGATAGCGGCTTCAGGGCGACGAAGCACCAACATGAGGGCCACAAAGACGAGCAATCACTTACTTTATATGCCCATGGATGACAAGACACTCCGCCAAGCTGCCGGTCGTGGAGACGAGGAAACTGTTACGCGCATTTTGCAAGTCCGGGACGGCTGCGACGACCCGGAGGCCATGGTCAATGCTGCCCGTGGTGGGCACGACCTCGTTATGCAGCTTCTTCTCGCGTTGGGCGGCGCGAACCCCGATCCTCCTCCAGTACCGAACGTTGCTCCCGATGTCGCTACCCCCATGTTGGCTGCGATAGGTCAGGAAAATATCAAAGTCATACAGCTCCTTCTCGACCAGAACAACTTTGATCCGACCAGAAGGTTTAAGGGAGACACCTACTACGAGATAGCACGTCGCCGAGCTGGCCCGAATTGGAAGGAGGAGGAGCATATATTGCAGAAGGCCTATGACGAATATAAGAAATCGAGGTCTAAGGAATCTTCTAAGAAGTCACCTAGCCGGAGGGAGCGCGAGAAGGAGAGGGAGGCCGAGCGCGAGCACAAACGTGCTAATCGGAACGAAGCTAGGGAAGAGTCTGCTCGCTCCGTCAAACGTAGCCACGCAGCGAGCCCTTCACGCGACGCCCCCGAACCGAAGAAGAAGACAACGTCCTCATCAAAAGCCGCGTTGAGCCCGAAGGAGAAGAAGCGCCCAGAGCCGCCTACTCGCCACGATGACCACCACACATCTCCGAAGCGCGGACCGGGCCGTCCCAAGAAGGATGATCGCGTCCCCTCCATCGCGGTATCCGACCGCGAGAACTCGCCCGCGGTCCACAAGCAAACCAAGGCCAAGCGGACAGAGTCGGATTTAGCCGCCATCTCATCGGAAGGTGAGACTGCCAAGCCGCGGAGGAAACTGATATCGAAGGGCGAACTGCGCAGCGAGCGAGAGAAGCAGAGGCGGACGAGTCAGGTCTCCACCGGATCGTCGATGAAGGATCCAGCAAGCCCTCAAGATTCTCGAACCGATGATCACCCTGAGAAGGAAAAGCTCAAAGGGGAAAAGTATCATGACCGGACAAAGGCGATCAAGCGCGACGAATCCAAGGACCGCTTATCCGTATCTGGAGAAAACAGCTCGAAGCGGCACAGATCCAGTGCGACTCCTCCTCACTCCGTTAGCGGCGACAAGGAGGACAGCGAAGTCCCTACGAAGCGGCGACGATTGGACGTTGACGGCAAGGAACGACGCCCGAAACTTAGTTCCTCTGCCGCTGAAGATCGCCCCGCGAAGTCCAATCTCTCACGAGAGCAGTCTCTTGCTAGGTCTATGAAATCAGCCAAGGCGAGCGCGATCAAGGCTCGCGATGACGATGACAGGAAGGAGCCGAAGGCCAAGAAATCCTCAGAATCCAACAGGCGCGAGTCAAACAAGTCCACGTCTAGCGAGAAGTCCATCCATGTTAAATACGAGGACGCTGATGTAGATATGGCAGACGCACCTCCCCTGGCGCGCAGCAACGAAGCTGAGGCTAAGTCCAAGGATAATCACCAGCATCACGGCCAAGACAAGAAGCGGTCTGCCGATGATGCCGACGTTACCGCGTCTAAGGAGGAAAAGAAGCGCCGGGATGCCGAGGAGAAAGAAAAGGAAAAGGAGAGGGAGCGAGAGCGGAGGAAGAAGCGAGAAGAGGAGGAAGCCAAGCGGCTAGAAGAAGAGGCCAAACGCAAGGAGGCGGAAGAGCGGAAGCGGCAAAAGGAAGAGGAAGAGAAGAAACGTCGCGTTGAGGAGGAGAAGGAGAGGAAACGAAAGGAAGAGGAGGAGCGGAAACGCAAAGCGGAGGAGGAGGAGAAGAAGCGCAAGGAGGAAGAGGAGAAGAAGCGTAAGGAAGACGAAGAGCGCAAGAAGAGGGAGGAAGAGGAGGAACGAAAGAGAAAGGAAGAAGAAGAACGTCTGCGCCGAGAAGAGGAGAAACGCAAGAAGCGTGAGGAGGAGGAGAAGAAGCGGCTCGAGGAAGAGGAGCGCAAACGTAAAGAGGAAGAAGCGAAGAAGCGCCGAGAAGAGGAGGAGCGACGCCGTAAAGAGGAAGAAGAGCGAAAGCGAAAAGAGGAGAAAGAACGAAAGAAGCGCGAGGAAGAGGAACGGCTCCAGCGTGAACAGATTGAACGTGAGGCAGCCGAAGCCGCCCGCCGCAAGCGCGAGGAAGAGGAGCGCCGAGAACGAGAGCACCGAGAGCGACAACGCGCTGCTCGCGAGGCGGAGATTAGACGCCAACGAGAGGAGCAGGAGCGCATCCGACTCGCCAAGCTGCCTCCTCTTCTGCGCTGGCTTGAGACGTGCCCGAACCCGAAGACTACAGACATGGCTGAGAAATTCAAGCACATGCAGGGAATCAGATACGACACAATCCGACCTGAGACTACTGGAACTGCCGACGGCAGGGAACAATGGGTTCTCAACACCCAGGTTGCTCTCCTCCTCGGCGAGAAGGATCTTGCCCTTTCAAGATGTATGTCTTTACCATCTCCGCATCCCCGTCCTTTCCGTTTTTCCGTCTGCTCGTGCTAACCGCGGATCCCCCACTTTTACAGACACTGCATGGGAGAAGATTCCCGTTTCCAGTCTAGCAAAGAAGGCCATTTGGCGACTCGAGTCTAATCGTTACGCCCTCATCTCAGAGAGCATGTTTGACCTTGGTCTACAGCTCCCTAACTACTATGGGGAAGGGATTGACCCGTGCAGGATGAGCTACAAAGTCATTGAGCGACTTCGTGGCGAGGCCTGGGATAAGTTCCTGAAACTGGACATGTTCTTCGTCAAGGTGAGTTTCCTGGCAGAATCTTAACATATATATTTATCTCTATTCTTTGGTCGTAATTTCGAGCCTGACTAACCTTGGTGGGTTTTAGCTGTCGGACCTAATGTTTATCGTTCCTACCATCCCGCACTTACGCGGCATCAGGCTCAGTGTCGAGTACCGCGAGCTTCCGGAAAACGAGAGTCAACTATTTGGATGGAAGGTGTCACAGAAGTGGAAGCAAGACCCGAACCCTGATCGGTTCTATGGCTTTGCGCCACGAAACAAGTACTACATCAACGGCGCGCTTGTCGACGAGGAGCGACCTGGCCTTTCTGCTACTAGCAGCCAGCCCTTCCCTGAGAGGAGGGTGCCTCGCCGGAATGGATTCCAACAGGTGTTCCCCGATGATCCGGAGTATGTCCGGCTCTGCAAGGAGCAAGGTCTTGAGCACCTGCTGGAGGATGAATCCCGAGGCGCGCCCATAACCAACGGTGTCCAGACTAATGGACCGGTCTCGGGGGCTGGCGCTCAGGTTCCCAATGGGACGACCCACTCAGTGTCGAGCAGTGCAGCCGCTGGTAGTAGCCCGACGACAGTGGCATCGTCTCGCAACCTGCATAGTCCTCAACAACACTACCGACCTCTCGTTAACGGAATCAATGGCACTTCCAATTAACGGATCTGACTTGTCAATAATTCGGCAGATCTGAGAAGGAACCCTCCTCCTAACTGACTCTTCGACCCCCCTCCACGTGTTCTTCTCTACGTCAGATCCAAGCGTCTCTGCATCAACTCTTGTCTACTATTACTACATGTTCGGCATCGGGATCGGGTTATAAAGGGCATCGGGGCCTCGGCGTTTTGTTCTTCTATTTTTCCTCTTCTTGTTTCACCTGTTCATTCTCTTCACTTGAAGGATTAGGATTTGCGTCGCACTTAAACGATACCTCGACCTCTTTTCTTTTCTTTTACCACGGCTGCGAGTTTTCTCTTCTCCGCTTGTGTTCTTCTTCTTCCGACTCTTCCTTTCGCCGACTTCGGGTTATAAACGTCACGGGGAGACAAACATATGGGAGTACCGGTTTGGCGACCGAGTTGTTCTATTTTGGTCGGTTTTTCTTTTGTAGAAAAGGCTTGTTTTTTTCTGTTCATGTACCAAGGGAACTTGAAAGAGCAAAAGAAGCCGCTATTGTCGTTCTCTTTGCAAAACTTCATTTGTACTAGGTATTACGGAAGGTTGGGGAATCAAAGGGGGTTATTGTGCAATGGGTTGCACGGAAATTTTCCCTTCTTTTTTTCTTACATTTTTTCTTGTCAATTTTTCTTGTCGTTCTGTTGCTTTTTCTTCTTCTCTCTGTGTGATGTATGTAGCTGCTTTTGATTTCCCCCAATTTGATAGGGTTCTGAGGAAGGGCGAGCAGCAGTGAGAGAGATGGTTTCGGGTAACAACCGAAGTATATATCAATATATCCCTTGCAAACATAGTTGCGGGTTTTACTGTTTCTCTTCTCTATTGCAAGTGTGAATGTGAGTGTGGATGGATGCAATGCTCTTTGTAGCGATCTTTCGATGCCAGGGCAAAACTGGCTCATGAAAAAAATGTGTGGGGAATCGTGATTGCCACTTCGCCGAGCCACGCCCACTAACAATTCTTATTTTTTTTTCTTAGTCAAGAAAGCCAGTTTGGGGTTTTTAATTGGGAGCATTTTTTACCCCGCTGAACTTATTCATCCCGCATTCCCACAAGCTACGATATCAAGCATCGGCTCCGAACACCACTAGTTGAGTATCCGCCTAGGGGGGCCTACGAAACGGAATAGGAACTAGGACTGGGGAGGATAGGAAGAACATAGCACTTGGGAATCAACAGCGAGGAACACCGCCAACATGTCGACAACGGTGGAGAAGGTGCGAGGGTCTCTAAACCTCCATATGATGCGACTTCCTGGAGCGATGCAATGCTAACCCATCTTTGAATCACGATAGATCAAGGAGATCGAGGCCGAAGTATGTACTAGTTCTTGTCCCTCCGCTACCCGGAATATATGGTATCCCGTTATTCGGTCGACGGCCGCAAGCTGCCCGGTTCACGACCCGGAGCAGAGCGAATCCGAAGACCAGTGGGAACTGGGTCCCATATATGTGTGTGCATGCTGACGAGAGGCACTGTTTGCGACAAAACTATAGATGGCCCGAACTCAAAAGAACAAAGCCACAGCCTTCCACTTGGGCCAGCTCAAGGCGAAGCTCGCCAAGTTAAAGCGCGAGCTTCTCACCCCGACGTCGGGCGGCGGCGGCGGTGGCGGCGCGGGCTTCGACGTTGCGAGGACGGGCGTTGCGAGTATCGGTTTCATCGGGTTCCCGTCCGTGGGGAAGAGTACGTTGATGAGCAAGTTGACGGGGCAGCATTCGGAGGCGGCGGCGTATGAGTTTACCACGTTGACTTCGGTGCCGGGCCAGGTTGTGTACAATGGTAGGTTCTATCCTTCTGGAACTCTAGGTGTCGTCAGTACGTTGTTGTTGTTGTTGTTGAGAGTGGATGTGGAAGTGGAAATTAGAGAGGTTTGGGGACTTCGAGAGGGACTGTTTGAGAGGGAAAACGAGGTCATTGTCGGGAATCACTTGAACTGACTACCGTGTAGGTGCACCACTGCAAATGATCGACTTACCCGGTATCATCGAGGGAGCCAAGGACGGCCGTGGTCGTGGTCGCCAGGTCATCGCCGTCGCGAAAACCTGCAACCTCATCTTCATCGTCCTCGATGTCAACAAACCCCTGACCGACAAGCACATCATCGAGTCCGAACTGGAGGGCTTCGGTATCCGCCTAAACAAGAGCCCGCCGAACATCACCTTCAAGAAGAAGGACAAGGGCGGCCTCAACATCACGAGTACCGTCGCTCTGTCTCACATCGACCACGACGAGATCAAGGCCGTCATGAGCGAGTACCGCATCGCTTCGGCCGACATCACGATTCGCTGCGATGCCACCGTTGATGATCTCATCGATGTGCTCGAGGCCAAGAGTCGTAGCTATATCCCCGTCATCTATGTTCTCAACAAGATCGACTCCATCAGCATCGAGGAGCTCGATCTCCTCTATCGAATCCCGAATGCTGTGCCAATCAGTTCCGAGCACGGATGGAACGTCGACGAGCTCATGGAGGCCATGTAAGTTCTTCCCCGGTGTCGGATGGTGTCTGACTGAGCATCAGTGCGCATGCATCCGCTCAAATGAGAAAAAGAAAGGAAATGAAAAATAAAGAAAGGGCGGCCGCATAACGCATAGTTCACATGGCTGATGTTTGATGCAGGTGGGAGAGATTGAATCTGGTCCGCGTGTACACGAAACCCAAGGGTAAGATGCCCGACTACTCGTCACCTGTTGTCCTCCGAGCAAACAAATGCACGGTCGAAGACTTTGTAAGTATTCTTCACTCCCCAATGAGCCGCCCCCCTTTCCTCTGCGCTCGTCTATTCCCACCGGCGGCTCTTCCCTTTTGGAGGCCTTTTTTTCCCCAAAAAGTGAAATTGGGACTCGCCAGGGGCGTGTGCTGACTCTCCTTTGTCTAGTGCAACGCCATTCATCGTACAATCGCCGAGCAATTTAAGCAAGCCATCGTCTATGGCAAGTCCGTCAAGCACCAACCTCAACGTGTTGGTCTCTCTCACGAATTGGCTGACGAGGATATCGGTACGTACCATCAGCTGGAACACGAGCTGGAACCTTTTTCTTCTTTCATGTTGGATCAACCCCCCTTGGGACCTATTTGTAGAGATCCCTATGGCGGAAAGAGTGTTCTCTTTTACTGAGCCCCTGATTTGTGGTCTCGTTCCGACTCTGCTCTTGTTTTTTCTCCTCGTCGATTTCCATCCCCGACTTTGTCTGCAGCACAAACTGACTGTACTTTCCTTTTTCAGTGACAATCATCAAACGATGAGCAGCCTTATCTTCCTCGTACCAAGGACCGGGTCTGGGGCCCGAGTCTGGGCCTCCAAGTAGGTCGTTTCTCACCTCGGTTCGGTCCTTACTTTCCCCGAGATATTATACATCTCGGGACTCGTGCGCCCCGGCCCTCCCATGCTTGATCATCTGGGAGGGTGTAAGTAATCGAGGGGTGCCTGGTTGCACTCTGAAAAGAAAGATTGGAAAGAGAAGGATGGATGCCGACCCTCCCAATTGGGGAAAACTCGGTTGGCGAGGCGGTTGGCAAGCGGAAGGTCAGGAACAAGTTGGCCGAAATTCGGGCAAGTTGGGCATCAGGAACGAAATGAGGAAGAGAGAACAGTACTATTATGACAAGGAAACGATACAAGTGGTACCTCGGGAAAGAACAAAAAGGCAGCCGCCGTCACATTCTGGTGTACACGAGCCTAGCCAGGCCTAGCCATCGGAGGGTGGCCTGCCCATGCCAGGCCGTCGAGACCGTGCTATACCACGGACACTTGTGATGGAGGGGTGGGGCGTTTGCAAGAGAAGGTGGCGATGTTTGGTGTGTGAGACGTATGGCTTAACCGGGATATAGCATAACGAAGTGTGATATCTCGGGGACGGGGTACGGCGGAAAGAAGAAACGAAAATGAGAACCAAAAATGCAATTGTGTCAGTTCCATATTTAGTTCCACTTGCAAGGAAAGGCAGGTCTTATTATTACAGAAGAGAACAGAAATGGTCAAAAAAGACAAAAAAAAAAGAGAACAAAAAACAAAAGAACTCAGACGCTGGGAAGTGAACCTGGTAGCCCCAAAAAACGTTCTCACCTCAAAGGCACTAGCGCCCGCAGCTTCCCTAGCTTGCCGAGCTTGGCATCAAAGGAAGAGGGTGGTGCGGTGAAGCCGTTGTTATGTTTTTCTCTCATTGCTTTTTTCCTCGAGAAGGAAAATTCGATTCTGTCCCCACACCCTTGTTGTTATTTCCTTGTTGTCCCCTTTTTTGACATCTCTTGGTGGCGTTCTTTCGTGTGACGGAGACGAGGCTTCCGGGGGTCGCTCTCCGGTGGTCCCCTCCAACCCTGGGCCTGGCCACCTCTCCCGATTCAGACTTTCGAAGTGAAGATCGGCTTGGATGAGGGGGGTCGCCTCGATGAGAGTGTCGGCCCTTGTATCGAGTTAGTATAAGCGACTCGGAAAGGTGCTACGAGGTTAATAATGCATGGTAATATAACGGGGCATCGTCATGAAAAAGGGTCGCAGTATAGGGTGCCGGGCAATGCTCGGTTTCAAAACATTCCCTGGCCACTGGGCCTCGTTTAGCCTTGCACTTTCGATATCGCGGGCTGGCGGCTAGCTGCCCCACGGGCAGCAATGAAATCGAAACAGTAGACGCTGTTGTAGTGGCATCCCCCCCCCTCTGGTCGCCAATTCTCGCCCCAGCATCCAACGGAAAATTAATAATAATTCGGAGGCGGAGAGAGGAAGGGAGGCATCGCACGGAGCACCAAATTATGGCCTGGGCTGCACAAGGCAACTGCCTCCCGGCCGCCTTAGGTCGTAATAATACGCGGTAAGCGATTTTTTTTGCTGAAATATCACCCATATCATTTTAGTTTAGTGTGATTAACAGACGGCCAGTATGGAATCGGAGTGGGAATAGTAGCATGCCCTCCTAAAGCGGAACTATTACCTCGTGCTTCGTCTAAGTCTCTGGCAGGCCGGGATTTTGCTTGCTAAGCATTGCCCGCGATGGGCCTCGCGTCTCGGCCAGCTCTCGCGTCGTAGGATTAGGGTAAACTATGTCGAGCAGAGAACACAGGTACTGTGGCAGACCGCCGTATACGAAGTATTTTGTGGAGAGCTGGGTATCACTACCCCAGGAGCTTCATCCAACATGGACCGGGGTTGAGAGGTCGAGCGTCGACAAGGGTCTTGATTGTCTGTCCACAAAATGCTGAGGTATGTGAGTTGAAGGCACCAAGTATTCCTGCTCCGTAAATGAGAGGAAGTCCTTGGGGCCTGGGTAATACTTTGTAGTCCGTTTCCTTCATATTATCTTTAACCTGCATTGTTAGTTTCTCCCAAGGAATAGAGAGGAGCTACTCCCCCACTCCATATCGAGGAAGGGAACAAAGAAACGAAAAGAAAAAGAAAGAGGAACAAAAAGCAAGGCCAAATCGTTCCGAAGCGTTCCGGGAAAAGTGTCGGCCGCCAGAGCGTTGCGCTGGAGTAATACACTGATGATGAAAGGGGCGATCTGGTGTGTTTCGAGTGCAGGTGTGGCTTGCTAGACATGCCACCAGACATCTCTACTAGTAAACTAGGATAAGCCATTGCTTTGCCCAGACTAGCAAGCCGCCCGGTGAAGAGGGTTAATTAGGTTGAATGAGAATCGTCATTTTGGCCAGACGAGAGATAGAGCAAAGATGCCTCCGTCATGGAAATAGAGGACTATACTTCGTAGGGTTAAAGCCTCGACTTTTCATGCATATGCTAAACCTGGGCCGTCAGCGCCGATTTACGCAACAGCCAAGATACAGCGATTGTTTTCTGGTCAGTCTTGTAACCGTATTAGTTCGCGGGCCTTATTCGTACAGTAGTGCCTTCGGATAGCGAAAAACCAAAGCCAACAGCGGTCGGGCAGCCGATGTTGATCTCCCGAAACGGGCGAACTTGCACTGACAAGGTTGTGCTTGCGGTTGACCCCATGCTATCACATCACCATTTAGGGAAATCCAGGCACACCCTACCAGGGCGAAATAGTGGATGCGGGCAATTCCTTGCCAGGCCATCTCCGCCCAAACCCGCCCAAGCCCACTCTGCCCATGGCATGGAGACACTACACTTCGTAGTGTAGTGTACTTCGTAGTGGAGAGCAAAAAAAAGCGGGCTTCGGGCACTATGTTCCAAAGTGTCATAGTATTTCCGCGAAACCGCCTGGCTTACCTGCGTTGCTTCCTTCTTCTTGCAGGGCCGCCATCGATTGTCGACATTCTAGCCCTTTTCGCTTCTTTTCCTTCCGTTTTCCTTTACTAATTAGTGCCAACATCAAATTAAAGGCTGGCGGAGAAAACCGCTCAAGAGGCGGGGGTGATCTCGGCCGGAGCGGGTAGGAAGCGAGACCAAACCACATTCAACGTCGCCTCGCAGGAAACAGGGATGGATGTACATCTCCCGGATGTTGCGAAAAAGTCAATTCAGGACCCTGATGATTCCAACCCAGATGCGCTAGCCAAAAGGGAAATGAAAACACTGCATCGAATTTGCTTACCATCTGATCGCTTATTTTTCTGCATCATATTGCGACTTCTTGGGGGCGAGGTTTAAACAGGATACCCACCCACCCGCTTATTTTACCTTTCAGATCGATAGAGTCCACACTTCGTCGCTGGGCTGCGAGGTCACTATCGTCCAGTCGGGGTGACCTGCATTGCCGGGCCTCTTCTCATGCGGCCATGTTGAGTGTTGGGCCTGACCCCAGAAACCAGACCAGAGGAAAGGAGAAGCATATCCGTCGTACAGAGCCGTATGTATGTACGTGTGTCTGTGTACAGCATGCTTGGGCTGCGCGAGGGGTGCGCGGAGGGTCGGGCGGGATGGACAGGATGTACGAAGTACTTCGTACATACTTCGTAGCATACCACCTTGCTGTCATTCAGCCTCGTTAGCTTACCATCAGAGCCGAGCGGAATATAATGGAACAGAGCAGCAATGCCTGGCAGGCCCCGGAATTCCTGGTTTATGCCGAGAGGTTTGGCCTGTACCGAGTTTGCTGACCAGGTGCGGTCTTACTTTCAGGCTCTAAGACAATAATACCTGAGCACTCACGCACAAAGGTATAGTTTGTCCCATTAATGGTCCCTCTGCTTGCATAGCCTGGCTAATACACCAATTGCTTGGAAGAGCAGGGCAATTACAAACGGACACTATGATTTGATCCAAATGCAAAGGGAACAAACTTAGGGCTGCGTTGGGGTCCAAAACAACGTAGGAGGGATACGAGAGAAGCAAGGCGATGCGCAAGGAAGCAATGCAATGGTCAGGAACGGCGAATTTGAAGCAAATCAAGCAAGCAGAAAAAGTCCCCGTACACACCAAACTCCATGCTACCTTCGTACTCGTTCGAGGATGGTGGGGGAACGTAACCTGCTCGCTTTCCCTGCACCAATTTGACAACTCCAAGTACTTACATCTGGACTTTCCGCGGACGGCTCTTCTCTCCATCTTGGTCGTCTGGGTTGTGTAAGTGTGTTGTTAGTCCTGGCCAGGAGATGTGGATAAGGGCCTAAAAGCATCAATGATTAATTCAGACCGGGAACTCGCAGTTGGAGCTAAGCAAGGAAGAAATATTGAATGGGAGTGGGAGTGACGGGCTAAAAGGGACCCGGGACAGGTTTCGCCATCCATAGGGCGTATTGAGGGCTGTGAGGACAAAACGAAGCAGATTCTAGCGGCCTTTCTGTGGGCGAGGCCTGGTCAAGCGGGCACCAGGAAAATCGATGCAAAAAAGCAATGTCAGGGGTCGAGAAAGTGCTGATGATCGAGATCAACCTCAGGCGCCCCTCTCTTCTCCATCCTTCCTGCCCCTCTTCATCAGGAGGGAAATTCCTTGACCGCCGTTGTAGCTTCTTTTCTTCTGGACCCACTTATTTTGTACAGGTACATGACCCGTCGGCGCTTAACGGCTGCACACTCCCCTTTGCATCCATACGGAGTACAAGACACGCCCCATCCCGCTCCCCACTCGCACGATTTTCCTTGTACTGTACTTGTACCTGCTCATGGACTACCCACTGCAGCTACTACGTCTGGTCTTGGTATGGCCCGCCCTCGCAGCTGCGCTTTCCTCACCTTTCCTGCTGCGTTCCAGGCCAGACCTTTCTTGCGGTGCCTCTTGCCCTTTTTCCTCCGGCTATTGGCTATTGGAGGCGTTCCTGCTCAACTTGTAGAGGTCTGGCATTAGAGCCTGCCAATGCTGCAGTTGCGCCTGCCCCCACACTCACAGACA